TAAATCTCCGCGTAACAAGAGTCTGCGACAGCGCTATAAGACTCACCTCCATAGACTCGTATATCTCTGTCGCCGCCCAGTGGACATTTCTCGGAAGTGTCATCGCCCGCCGTAATTAGGAAACGTCCTGTAATTGAAGCTGTGTGCTTGGACAAGAGCCGCATGTCTCCCCTCTCGGCGCTGACTGGACGAAAGCTGACAGCCCGGATCCCACTGACGTGTGATCCAGTCTGGGTTTTCCTCCGCTGACAATCCGGATCCCGTGGAAGCTTGATCCGGTCCAGTTTTTACTCTGCTGACAGTCCGGATCCCGTTGAAGTCTGATCCAGTCCGGGTTTTACTCTGCTGAGAGTCCGGATCCCGTGGAAGTTTGAGCCAGTCCGGGTTTTACTGTGCCGACACTCCTTACTCTGCTCCAAAAGTAGAAATTATGAAAAACGTTTTATGAAAAAACCATGGGGATGCGGTCAGGGTGAGACGGTCAAGTTGAGGGCGAAAACTCCGCGGAAGCAGCCGGATCCGAACAACGTGTCACTTTAATTTTAATGTAAGCATTTACAACATAATACAATACAAATACCGGTCTGTCGGTGTGGTTCCGCTCTCTGCTTGTCAAGCACTGCGGGCTCCTGGAAAACCGTATTTCAGGGCAGAGAGTTATTAGTGAACTTTATTATTGAGAGTTTGCGAGTCAGTTGCTGATAAATTCAACTTGATTGTGTTTTTTTTTCCTTTAACTTTTATATTGCAAAAATAAGCCCTCACTGAATCAGTCACAGCTGGGGACTCAGGTGCTCATCACCTCTTGACAGTCCTGGCTAGACAATTAAACGTGCCAGCAGACCAACAGCATCTGCTAACAACCACCCTCAATAACAACTGGAATATAATCCATATGGAATCGGATATCATTTCTGGCTTCATACTCAGTGAGAGAATGCAGAACAGACTGAGTTTTCTGTTATAGGGGAATTGTGGGGAGACCTGTGATGGAGAAATAAAAATTACTGGTACATGCAGATCACAAACATCAATTTACTCCATCTGACATTCTTACTTGATTAAAATGAAACTTCTGTTCATTCATATGCTGACCTAAGCACTGAGAATGTCAGAACTTAAAAATGAATGAAAATCAATTTTCAGACACAGAATGTGTAGAAATTAAAAAAGTGCCAAAAATGCTTTGCAAGCTGTTTTATTGACAACCTAAATAACAGATGAGAATACACAAATTGCAATCCTGCTCCTACAATATCCCTATGGAAAACTGTATACGAAACATAACGACAAAAATATTTTTAAATTTCGTACACAACACCAGAAATACAGCAATTGTGTTACAAGCTCAATATCTATCTTGTAAAGAATAAACACTGATGTTTGTAATAGTTTTATTTCAGTTTTCTATAATAATATAGCTATGCAGCCAAAGCAGAATACAATACAAAAGCAACAGGAAATGAATGTCTTTTCTACAGTGGTTTATCTCAAAGATATCCAGTGCATTGCTGAAATATGTAGCATAACATTTCACTAAATGAGATAAAAAGCGCGTGCCTTTGACACAAGAAAGTGTGCAAATCATAGTTTTATTCTACCAGCAGCCACTATAAACATTTCACTTGCATCGTGTAACACCATATGCATTTCTTTCTTAGCAGAGGAAGTTTAGAGATACTGTCACAAGTTCAATCACAACTTCCATTTGAAAATACATACATGAATGATGCTCTTATAAAATGTGCTAATAAACAAAAGCATGAAGGAACTTTACATAGAATTTACACAATGAGATACTCATGAGCACATTACAGAAAATATCAAGGCTTTAAAAACTTCTGTTGATCCTAAGCATTCACCTCGGATGTTCCTTTCAATAATTCTGATAGTTCCAAAATTGATCTTGATGAGTAGTTCCAGACCCTGGATGATCCTACTGGACCTGGACCTCCTATCTGAGTTTCAGTGGCTCACCACTAGCCACTGTGTTAGAGAGTCAATTAAACTCATTCAAAGTTGTGCGAAATGCAGAATCTATTTGGTGAAATTGTGACAGTGGTATCCTGCACTGTATGTCACATGGTGGGCTCAGCCAAACACACAGCTCTTACATGGCCCTGAAAGAGCACTCATTTGCAGAAGGTCGCTCTGTCATCCTCACACAAAATGCATTCAGACATTATACATCCCCACCATCTAAAACCCCTGTTCATCCACCCCAAAGCCTGTCATGTCAATCAAAGCCTGAACAATGGAGTTTTTTTACCTGGTGGTTACCTATGATGTACAGTATATAAGCGCCTCGTGTGGAGCTCAGTATTACTTTATTGCTTTTTGTCATTTGTGGATGCAGGACAAGTACACACAGAAAACCAATTTAAACATGGTTATTATCAGCCCTCTCTGCAGGTGCACAGCAGGAGGGCAAAACACAAGAAGCAACTCTATTTTAACAACACCTGTCTTCTGCTCAAACAGACAGGAGCTGTCAACTATCCTTGGGAAAATCACCACATTAATTCAAACCTTGCAATTACGAGCCTGATTATGCATAAACCACATCTGCAAATAAGTGCAATTGAACAGGCTTTCAAGCAGTGTTAGATTAGCATACATCAGACATTTAGATACAGTTCTATGGTATGTATTAGGTTTTTTAAATTATTTGTAAATTGTTGGATTCATGTTGTTGATTTAGAAGGCACTTTAACCTGTAAGTTAAAATATCATAAAATTACAGCATTTTAATTTGTATGAAACAATGTTAATTGTTCCCAGGATATTGCTGCCCTCTCCTGGTAAACACACCACATGGCACTTCCTATCGTTCCTGGACTCAGGTTGTATTGGACAAAACGGTTCTGGCCAGGCTACTACTATGCTCTGGCAGAATAAAATGAGCACCATTCACAGTACATTTTTTTTATTTCACCGAAAGTAAATATACACTGGATTTACAATCCATGTTTGTACAAGTATGCGGCTGCCTTATTAACCAAGTGCTTTGGATAATGTGTAGAGGGGAAGAGATAAATGTCTGGTTTACTCTTCCACATAGTTGTCATCTTGGCCGTGGCACCTTTTTCTTGGGCCTGAGACTTCACAATTTCATTTCTCCATCATACCAAATGGAAACCCACATCAGGACACTGACACCACCCTGCCCGACAGTCCTCCGCAAGTATCAGGGTTGGAACTTGTCATCTCTCTGCCTCTACATTCCTATGTGGGCTGGAGCTGAACTGCTGAAATTGGGATTCATCAAAGAAGTACCATCATTAAACTTAGGAAATCCCTAACTTACGTATAAAACAGTCAAGAATGACTTTCTTGTAGCTAACTGCCATTCATAGCCAAGCTTATGTCAGAGTCAATTAATTTTAATCTGTGTTTCTGCACCATCTGTCAGAAAGGGCTGTACAGTAACGGCGGAATGTAACATGGTGTACAGTAACTCTTGATAGGAGTCTGGGGCGATACTTGGTACATGTAATGCCATTGTTGTAAACTGGATGGTACAGGTATGCATCTTGAACAATACCTCTCCTACTCTGCTATTTGTACTGTATGTAGCATTCAAGTCAGAGAAATCTCAGTTTAAACCATTTACATGCTGCACAGGATGTGAAATTAGCCTGTCCATTATTTTCAGGCTTGCTCATTTTATACTGCAAGGGCATTGTATATTCAGAACAGTAAAACGATCATTACTACTCCTTCATTATTAATCCTAATACATTTTGATATATATTTATATCGTGATATAAAACTGACACGCACCATACAAAAGACCGCAAACCTTACTACTTGTAACTCTCAGGGGCTGTATTAATCTTTAGGATTCAATTCATGAGACAAGATGTCATTTCACATTATGAGTTGGCACACAGTCCAAATTTCTTTCACAATTCCTAATAAATAGTGATGGATCTATTAAGGTTATTTTGCATACAGCTCTGCATTGCTACCAAATTAGCAATAGTATAGCAATTCCTCAGGTGAAAACGAATCTATACTGTTGGAGTCACAAATATGACCGAAGACGCAAAATTCACAAGTAGAGTAAATGCAATGTGCACTGGAGACCCTGTAATTGTGGATTCCACTGTTAAATGGAATTGACTGTAATTGGTAGTGAGATATTTCAAATGTTTTGGCACATTCTGCTTTTTTACAGTATCGATGAAGTCCAAAACCAGTACGACCAACATTTCAAATACATGCCATTGTGATTTATTTTTGAGAACTAACTTTTAATATATTTTTCAGCAATATACACATGAAATGTTATGGAAATTAAGTGCCTGAAAGGGTAATAGGAAATGTGTAATTTTTCTGTATTAAAATTTATACTGTCCTGTTGTCTCATTTTTGGGATGAAACAAATCAAAATATAGACCACTATCATCTGTTAAACAATAATATTGTTTTAGAATAAAAAAACACTAATACAGATAACTGAACATAGAAAACACATACAAATAAAATACTGTTTTATGACTTGTAGTCTTAACAAATTTGTAATTCTATACAACAGGAACATTTTGGTCGCTGATTTTCATATACTTTCAATTTGTACTGCTTACTTTGGTCAAAATGGTACCATCCATTTACTTTAAGCATTACATTTTGCATAGAGGAGAAAATTGTAAATAGTGCAACACAGCAAAACGTTAAAGGCAGAAAAGCATGTTACCTACCAGATTAATACGTCTATCAATAAGTTTTAATAGTGCAGAAACAATGATTATAGGAGCCTACATCTAACAAATAATTAACCCAGGGTGGATGGATATTTTACCGTGCAAATAATGTCCCATTTAAAGAATGCAGGAAGCTCAGTGTTTGCTTTCAACACTGCAGTCTAAAAGAGCTTAGGAACTTAAAAGCAGTACTATCACAGAGCCTAGCGTTTTCAAAAGGTGATTTACTATATTACTGAGCACACACTAAGAGTTATGGGGCATATAAGAGGAATATTGTTTCCAACCATGAACACTAATTGTCACCTACACTTCCTATAGAATAAAAAACGCAAACCTGAGGTGGCCGTTTGGCTTACCAAATTGGGCACTTATTTAAGATTAGCAGTTTCAAATCTGTGCCTTAGGTGCTGCAACGTAACAACTAGTGATGGAAGTGTACACTGCCACCTGTTAAGGTTTCTTCTGAAATCTGTCCCCATATTCAATCGGGGCAATATGAAACATACATGCTGCAAGTCAGAAAAAAATAGATGAAATAAAAAAATGGACACTTTGGAAAGGGGAGAGGGGGAGTATTTCACTGCAGTGTTCAAACACTGTTCAAAACAAACAGCAAAAAATGTTAAGATTAAGATGTACCCCAGCTGTTATAATTAATGAATAAAGAAAATAATTCAGGGTTAAGATGACTGCCTGCCTGTAAATTTGACTGAATGAACTCATAAATACAGTTTTACTTGCAGTACTAATTCTTTCAGAAAATACTGTGTACTGTATTAACTGATATTTGGATCATGTTATGGGGTTGTTGTACTACAAAACAATCATGCTTATTATTTTGAGGGAAGAAATAACACTGAAGTAAGAACCACCTGTTATATACACGTTTAACATTTTGGTAATAAAAAGTCCTTGATTCCTTATTGACTTTGGTTTCCAGCCGACAGAACTACAGTTTTAAGAGTACAGGCCTTCTGCAATTTTTAGGACCTGACTTGTCTGCAAGTGTAAGAATGCACTAACACAGTACTGGAGAAAAAAAGAACATGAGTAACAAAAGACAAATGGCTGAAAGACAGACAACAATCTCAGTCAATTTTCTTTCCTCATCAGATGAAACATTCTTTTTTAAATGCAATGACAGTAGTTTGAACTAGCTAGCTACAATCTACAGAACAAAACATGTCACATAATAAAAAACATAGTCTACTGCTCCTAAGCCCCTCATGAACTCTGCCGATTTTAATGTAAATCTAATTCCATGAATGATTTCCACTTTGAATGAGTCACTCAGTTTTGAAAAATGAAAAGGGCCACATCTTCAGAACCATTTTGCACACCTTATTACACAGTAACTGCATCATTTACTAGCTGCCCCTTTTCCTCAAGGTAATTAAACTACTTACAGGAGAACAAAATCTAAGGCAAAGGCAAAGGCCTAGCAAAGAGTATCATCAATACAGAATAGAAAAAAACAGCATAAAATGAAATGAAAACTGAAGAAGTTTGCATTTTTTTCTTGTGTTAAGTGTTAACAGAAATAAGTGTTGCACAGTTTTATTTGTGAGCAGTTCAGAAAGGAAAAAAATAACATTAGTGTACAATACTGGAATGTAGACTGTGGTGAATACTATCATGAGGAGGACACTAAAATTAAGGTGCATTTTCAGGGAAAAGCAAATTTATGCCTAACTTCCAGCAAAATAAAATATGTATATGCTTATAATAGTGGTGCAGCAGTCATTCTTGATTCTTACCTAGAATAAGGGAAAAAAAGCACTAAGAAAAAATGAAAAAATTGTTGCACTTCAAGGCAAAGACTTGGGATAAATAGGTTGGCACTGTCGGCAGCTGTGCACAATCAAAAATGTTATTACTTCAACTTTTTACAAGTTGGACAGTGTGCAAACAGATGACCTCACCACTGTAGAAAGGAGGAAAGAACAGTGTTATTTAAACGCAGTGTAACACGTTACTTATTCAGGGCCCTGTAAAGGGTGCTCTTTTCAAGGGTTTGATCGCTTAACAGCCAAAAAAATCTAAAAAAACATCCTTTCCCTCCGCTGTGATGTGAGATACAGGTATTTACTTCGTGACTGCCGCAGGTTCTGTATCCAGTAACTGCACAGTACTGTTAATAGTTCAAGTCAATCTTCAGCTCTTTATTTTAAAACTGTCTTGCAAACAAAATTTTCCAAAGGTGGAGGTGGAAGTGAAGTGTATTTGGGAGAGATTCAGTTTACAAGCAAAGTGAGGGAAAATCCTGTACAGCTAACTGTCAATTACTTTCTGTAAATACTGCTGTGGCTTTTTTTCCTTTAGAAGAAAAGTAACATTTTTCTCTCAGAAATAGTATTTTTAAACCTTTTACTGGGAGTTAAAGATTTCATAGGTTTACTGTTCACTGAAACACTTTTGAATTTATATTTTAATTATGTTAATATAATGTTAATTATACATCAAATCAAATCACATCATTACCTGTGACAAGTAAACATGCAAAGAAATACATTTTGCATAGGTATTTCCATTATCCTTTATTTTGGCCTTTAAATTATCTTTTAAACACCCAAAGTGAATGTTTCTGGCTTTATTTTTACCAGCAAGAAGTTTATAAACCTCTTCCTGTTACTGTCAAACTCCAGCAAAGCTACACTTTTTCTAGAAAAAATCATATACTGGGGTTATTGAAAACATTTGAAATCTAAGCAATTGAGCAAAACACAAAAAGTGATGCATAAGTTTTTAAAAATCTCTTAGCAGGGTCAATGATCTATGAAAAGAGTTCACAGGGCTATAAAACAGCACAGAGAACAATCATAAACTGCATCACCAACTGTCATGAAACAGCTGTAACTATTAACTCCCTCCAAACTTCAGTCAACCTCCTGTACAATAGTAGTGCTATAGAAGCACTTTAATATTTAAATGCATTTCTATTGCATACGGCATAAATTTAGAAATTAATTAGAAGAACATGTTTGATGAACAGCATAATACAATACACAGTATTTTAAAAGATAGTTACGTATTTTCTCTATCACAATTCTAAATCAGCAGCTTATGTTGCCTATTTATTTAATACAATTGGCTATTTTTAAGGTTCTCTTTTGCTGTTGCTTATACTGATTTAAATTTATATTCATAACAACTCCAAGACGGAATGGCAATTCCGAATAATAAATCTGTTCAATTCACAGGATATTTTGTATAGTTTGATTGCAAGATACATTAAAAAAATCTCATTATACTGCGTTTATTACACAACGCAGAGAATTTATGTTGAATGGCACATTATAACACTGGTTTGCTACAAAGCAGCAAATTCACACAGACACACAATCGAATAATTTTCTGCCAACTGTGTTCTATAAACCATTCGGTATGTATAAAATGAATATTTTTTACATTTGGATGGTTAGTTTCTATTGATATCAAAGTATGGATTAACCATAGTCTAAACTGTAAGCACTGAAAGTTCTACTTAACATAATTCTATTTTTTATTTCATTGTCATTCCAGCATTTATGATTTGGTTGCTCTTTTAAAATATGCTTTATCACATTCTTTCTGTCCTGACACTGAGAAGCAACATACATTATCTTGCTACAATACATTCTGCTCCTTAGCCCATTTAAATAGGAAAACTATCAGTGAAACATTTAATGCTTGAAATTTGTTGTTCTTACAAAATTCTGTTTTCTGTAATAAAGCTGCCATCAAAAGGGGGAAAATACTTTGGCTTTCGGGTATGAGATTTATTGGAAGAGGTCTTGCTGAGCCACAGTGGAAACCTTCTCTAGCTAAACCTCAGGGTGACTTTTCTGGTTCGCATATTCTGTCCAGTTCAGACAGTCCAGCTACTTCCAGGAGAAATTGTGGAAAAATGGCTCACAAGAAGTCTTCATGAAAGCAGGACAAGAGAAGAAACTGAAATCTGTAAATAACAAAGGTCCTCTCTGTCCCATTTGTCACAAAGGGGCAAACGCACAATACACAGTAAGCACAGTTATCGACAAATGTTTGCAAATTTAGATTTTCATGCACAATCAATCTACAGTTAGTTTAATACACAAGCTAGCTAGCTCTCTTTTACTTCTATTGTTGCTTTATTGATGTTTTTAGACACCGAATTCCAATTTCAAATATGAGCACATTATGTGACAAATGTTTTGCAAAATCAGTGCAAACGTTCTTTTCCAAGGCTTCTTTGAAGCAAGACACTTTATCTCTTACCCAGTTTGACAGGGTATGTATATTAGCAATACAAGGGTGATGGGGAGTCAACTGTAGTAATCAAACCCTTTTTTGACGTGTGAATATCCAGCACCCCTAAACCAACCTCTGCTCCCCTACCTGTATAAGCCTTATATCACAAAAATATTTTACCAATATCAATCTAAATATTGTGCTGTCTTTGTACAATACACACAGCATATGGATTTCTAGCATAATACACTTTCAACTTTAAGGACAGCGGTTTCGACAGGGGAAACTTAGGCCTGGGGCACACAAGTGCATAGCATTGCATCCCTTCACTCTGCTTCCTGCTCTAGCACAACAAACACAAATCTGCATTGTGAGAGGAACTGGAACAGTAACATTAATGGAGGAGGAAGAAATTTCATAAGTATTAGGATGTTTACATTAAAACTGAAAGAAAAGATAGTGGGAAACCTTAACAGAGTTGGAAATGTATCTTCCCTCCAGTCCAGAGCATCTGACAAGAAAGGTTTCATCAGTATTTCAGGATGTCAAAATAGAGCTCAGAGGTACTGCTGGAGCCGGTGAGAGATAACCTGACAGACACATCACACTGAGGTTGAACACTTTTAGCCAAGACCACACGTGTCTGTCAAGAGGCACTTCAACAACTGGAGAAAGGTAAATGTGTGAGGATGCAAAGCCAAGTGAAGCAACGCAACGCTGTGGCCTTGGCCTGCCCAGAGTGCTGCAGCCTCTTTCTGTAAGAACCACCTCTGGGTCGATCTCTAAACTGGGAGTCCTCAGTTCTTATGCTTAAGGGCTGCAGTTCGGGAGCCCCTGCTGGTCTCCTTCAGTTACTGATAGCATGAGACCAGGTCAGATAATGAAAGTAATTAGTTAGGCTAATTAACTCTGGTGGAGGGCAAGCCAGGAGACCCTGCAACCTCCCAGGGCTGGAGCAGAGAACTCTTGCTCTAGACAGCTCCATGACAGGACAGATAGACAAATAAGTGGTAAGAGGCAGCAGATATATTCCCTTTGCCCCTGACCTGCCCCTGCCTCGCCCACATCAGTAAGGTGTGGTGCCCTCCCACTCCACCAGATACTGAACCTTGCCCTCTGGGGTGACCCTGCGTGCCAGCACCTGGTACTTCTCCCCACAGGTCAAGCGCCCTGCTGCCCCGAAGTAGCTGGTGATGGAGGACTTGAGGTGGGAGAGCGAGGAGTCGTCCTCGCTGATGCTCTCGAAGGTGTGGCTGTCGATGCCGTTGTCCAGGGGCTCGGGCGACTCGGCAGCGTCGAAGGCGCTCGGGCTGCTGTAGCTCTCCGTCGCCGGCCTCCGGGATGGCAACAGGGCGTAGTTGGAGGTCCGCAGCTTCCTCTTCCTGCTGCCCACGTTTTTTCTACAAGACAATTAAACAGCACTGTGTGTGCGGCCTTGTGGGACATTGGAGCACAATCATGGACTGGGAAGAGTCATAGCAAAGTAAGGCAGGAGAAGGGAAGAGAGAAAGTGCTAACTATGCAGCCAAAAAGTTCATCTCTGACTCCTCCAAGGAAGGACATGCCAGTACATAGTCACGGAGGGGGCGGGGGGGTATTATAGCGGTCACCTTCCCCTTCTTTCCATTTCTGAGCAAAATCTGATTGGGCAAGAATGTAGATCTCTGAGAGGACTACACTCCCTTTGATGTTATATAATTAAAAGAGAATCGATTGGGCAGGCTGGACTCGATAAGGTCTTTATCACACTAGGCTTCAGTTGTCGTATAATTTCACCATGATCTGGGGTCCTTTTGCGGGAAACCTGGAAGCAGCCCAGACGCAGGGGATTTTGTGGGGTGGGGGAAATGTTTTGTTCTGAAAAACATAATTTACCAAAATAATTAAAACCACTATACTGACTACATCACCGTCACTTTTGTTCTGCTAATGACGTTCCACATCTTTTTAAAAGCACTGAATATGTTAAGATGCTGGGTGTTAAATCACAGTGCAAACTGATCGATGTAAATGTGCAAATTCAAATACCATGAAGTTCTCAGACGTTTAAGTTGGAGTTTAAATGTGTGAAACAGTATTGTGGAAGAGAAATATGCACAAGAATCAATTATTTTTTAGCTAAAATAACTGTAGATTGTGGCAGTAATAACAACACTGCTCTGGTATTTCTTAAGTGTTACCATGACTCCCACTTCCTCTCCCAATAATCGACATTTTGGCCACCAATATCTGCACATTGTTGAGAGGACTTTCCTCCAGCCACCTACTGTACAACCGCTCCCCTTACACAAGCCAACTTTGACCAGCTTGCCATGGTGAAAGAGTGAGCAACACAGCTGATGACTTCACTGCTGTCAGCAGCACTTTAATAATGCCCACAGACTGACATCCTGTCTGTGAACAGGACAGGGAGAGAAGGTGGGCTCTGTTGTAGACACTCTGTGAGTCAACCTTGAAGGTGCCATCAAAATTGCCCTTCTTAAAATGTTTCACACAGAAACAAAAATAAAGTGAGGTAATAACTAAAACTTGGTATGGGTATACCATATTCTTTCTGAAGATATTGTATTTTAAGAGCCAGCCAACATGGATTTGAAAGGGGACGCAGTGTTTAACTAGCTTACTAGAATTCTTTACGCAAGTACAAGGATACAGTAGTCGATAACACTAAAGCATTCCACAATGGCATACTGAGATGTCCAGCAGGCTTTTGATTAGGTCTGTAACAAAAGGTTGTCAAATATAAAGCTGCACTGAAAACTAGAACCAGCACATCATTCTAAGGGGAACCTTCCTTTTTTGGGTAGATGAAAGCATTGGTGTTGTAGGGACTGATTTTAGGCCTGTTGCTCTTTCCAATCTGTATCAATTATTTAGACTGTAGTGTGCTTAATTAAACTTGCATATGAAATATGCACAAACAAAGAGGGAGCAGCCAACCTAGAAACATTAGCAAGGGAAGTACCTATATAAGAAGACTCAAACATAATCATGGACTGGACACACTTTTAGCAACATGTAGGGCTAATATGTGCAAAGTGGATCCCCTGCAACCCTGTATTGGAGGTTAGATGGATAGAAGACGAAGCATATAGAAATACACCATACTGTACATATCACATGAGGAACTGCAAGTCTCAGGGAGCTATGCATGAAAGAGATGTACATGTGTAGGTATGTTCCTCCATCAAGGCAATGTGGAAGAAGAAGAATAAAAGCAAACAGAATGACATATAGCAATAAGAGTATATAGAACACTAGTAAGTACTGTATACTAAAGTATGAAAGTTATGCTCAAGCGTCACAACACATTAGTAAGACCTCATTTAGAATATTGTGGTCACTTTTGCTTGCCCTACCACAGAGAGGATATTAATGCCTCAGAAAGAGCTTAAATAAGAGCAACAAGAGTGATTCATAGTTTAAGGGCATTGCCATATACTGTCACATTAAAGAAGATTAATATTTTCAATCTAGAACAAAAAGAGATAAAGAAGAGGTATGATCTAGGTATACAAAATTCTTAGGGGTATATAAAGGTTCAGCTCAGAAGACTATTTCACACTAAATTGTGAAACAAAGACAGAACCACAACTGAAAGCTTAAAGGAAATACATGTAAAATAAAGAGTAGGAAACTGTTCTTTATGGAAAGAGTTTTGGGTGTGTGGGACAGGCTTTTCAGCCATGTGGTTGGAAACGAAAATGTGAAGACTACTCACTCATTTCTTGAGTCTCCTTTGAAAACCCCTTTCCAGGCTGGAGACAGACTGAAAAGTGGGTACAGAATCCTGGTAGGTCTAACTTTTAGTTGTTGATTAACTAGGTACTTCCCAAATTTATTTTAAAGATCAAATACAGTAATTTTCCAAAGAAATTCTGACAAGTGTAGCTGTGCCCTTCTTAATAACGAGAAAGTGATAGTGAGTATCAATGCAAAGTGAATTAAACAAAGTCCTGCTGACACTATCTTTTCTCCTGGTACCTCTGACTAGACTTGCAGGAATATGGGATTACATGATCAATATCTTTATTACTTGGTCATTGTTCATGCTGTATACTTTATTATTACGTTTTGCATCTTATGGTCCTAAATTTAGTCCCCGATTATGAGCACATAATTTGCTTTACATGCGGCAACATTTTTTTCATTTCATCATTTAATACCACAACATTCTAGTCATCTTGTAAAACACAATAAGATTTAGGAGCTCTTTAGGGATTTGGAATGTAAGACACCATATAAAAATAATACATTCATATTTATTTAATATTTTTTAGTTTTTATCAGCCTTCTCATTTTAAATACTCTTAGGTCCTGGGATTGAATTCGGTCTGGACTTTGCAAGTTTTCCCTGTTTTTTCCAGTTACTCTAGTTCTCTCCCACTGTTAAAAGCTGGATAGTTAAACACTCTGCTAGATCTTGACAAATTCTGCACTGGGCTTCCACAATTTGGCCTTCATCAAGTCCTTTCAATTTGATTAATGTAATTTCTCACCTTCTTTGCTGTCTACTGCATTTCGAGGGGTCCTTTACTATATGTAAAAAAGCATTTGGGGACTCTTTGGGTACGAAAACACAATATGAATACAAGGCATTCTTACTATTATTTTTTCACTGTGGTTGATTTGGCTTAAATTGTTTAATTTACCATCCACAAGATGGCACTGTGGTTTGCTTTTTTTCTTTGTCTTTAAGCGTAGTTGTTTTACTTTTGCAGCCTTTTAAAGTTAAACAAAAATTGGGATTTAAAAAAAAAATAATTAACACAACTGTTCCAAAAAAAACTTTTGCTATTTTATTTCTATTCCACTGAGTGTCATTTTCTAGGGACTGCAAGCTACAATCCTGTGGGTAAATCTCTCAGGGTACATCAGAAGGCAAGAAACTCGCAGTGGGGTATTGTTCACAAGAGATAAAGGAATAAACTATGCAAATTCGCCCGTGTTCATTTTTTCTAATTTGGGAAATCCAAGATTGAGATAAATCATACCAGGGCTCAGCTTCTTCGATCTGCAAGACCTCTGTTCAGCTCTAGGGAACTGTCTACCAAACTCTTCAGCAATGTGCTGTCCCTTGGAAACTTCACTTTTATATAAGAAAGTTACCAGTGCTCATGAAATGCATGAATAATTAGGCAGCTATCTGAGTCTTAAAAAACAATGAAGGCAAAAATCAAAAGGAACACTCTGATTTAAAGAAAGGCTCAGATAGTGAAAGTGCTTGTTCAGAGTGCAGAATGGGCACTTTGGCTCAGAGGTTGCTGTTCCCACTCTGGCTCATGTCACTAGTCAACTGCAATGTGATTCCCCAAGCGGCACCACAACTTTGCTGGTCACAGCTGGCACGACCCAAGCTTGAACTAGCAATAAGACTTTAATTAAAGGTTAAGTAGGCTTCCCTGGTCTGCGATGATTGGCAGAATCTGACCAATCCAAGATCACTGAGATAACTGCAGCTGAAAAACAACGTACCCATCAGATCATGCAATCATTATTCCTTTAAACTTTAAATACTTGCCAGACCGTCCTTGTGACTTTAAGGTGAGAGCAATCATATGGAAAAGGCTGACATTATACTTAGAGGTCTGCTCCTCATTTCTGGGAACACAGTCAAGCCTGCCAATACAGAGCAACAGCAAAAAATGAAGGATCACCTGTGTTCTGGTTTGAACCGTCTAAGCGAGAGGACATTTTGTACAAGCATTGACAAGAGGAAAGGTAATGCAAATCTGACACAGATGTCTCTGAATGGTTATGCTGGGTTATAGTTGTTAAAATGCTTTAAAACCACAACCTAAAATGTATTTTTTTTGTGCTGATAGGACATGATAGAAATTTTCATACAAGTATTGATATTTACAATTTTGTCCATTGGGTACAGGGTTGTAATTTAAAAGCCTGTTTTTTTAATCAACATATAACCCAGCCTTTTCAACAGATCTAAACAAAGGTGAACAAAACTGCAAGTCAATAAATTCTGTACATTCTGCAGAGAATTCTGTATATTCTCTTGTTATCACCCTTCTTCTTCTGTAGCCAGTAATTCAAACTGCTGAAAGTTTCTTTTTTCTTCTTTTTTGTCCTGGAGTGGAAAGGGTAATTTATCATGTCCTACACCAACAGCACTTTGAAATATTACAGCTGAGCTATTAGTTCTCAGGATGAGACCTTAAAGGCTGTGAAAGTAGAACATGAGTCTAATTCTTTCCAGTAAGAAATACAATGTCTGGGTGTTGTGTTTCTACATTCAGGTTTGCTAACTTTAACGAAACTGTAAAACAGAACAGTAAAATGTCATAAAATAGCAGATGCTGGTAAACAGAGACTTAAAAATTAAACCAATTTGGCTACTGTTATTTTTGCATTTTCTCATAGGAACACATTAAGAGAAGAAAGTGAAATGTAGATTTAAAGGTAAAAACCACACCAACATAGAAAAATCCATGAATCACCTGCCATAGCTCAGTAATGTCAAGGTAGTTCACATCTTTTCCCTCCTTTATCCCACAAGTTAAAGGGTAACTGCAGAACTATATTCATATTTCTAGGCTAGAATGAATCAGCATTGATAAGTGAATTTCAAACAGCAATAAAAGTAAAATGTACACAGTAACTTGTAAAACCTCCAATTTACATCACAAAATAGTCAAAGTTTTCAGGTACACACAGCACCATATTCTGCGATTCAGAACGAGGCAACAAAACGTCTGGTGACATGAAGTGACCCTATTACACTGTAAACAAGCAGGCTTGTAGAAACAGCTCCTTTAATCCAACAGAATTGCTTTCGATTAAAACGGTTTTACAGACAAATACTACTTACTCATTAAATCTGCATGCAGATCATATTGGAACATTTCTGTGGTAAACCTGTACTTATTCACTCATAAATCTCAGTATATCAGTCATTATGGTGACTTGTGAGCAGGAAGGGCCACCTCACATCACAATTAGTGGGAACTCAACAACATGCCAACTTACAGCACTTTCACTTGTGCTTAATTCAAAATGTGTCTATAATGTCAATGAATTTATCTTGTGACCGAGATTTAATAACCAGTCTGGGATGCTGGGTCTGCAGCTCCCCTTTAACAGTTTAATTCCAGTTTATTCCACTCCAGCCATGTCTGTAGATTAGGCAATCCTGGAAGAAATCATCTCTGACAGCTACTTCTGCCAGGTTTTCAGTCTGCTGGTTTATTGATTGCCTGCTTTAGAACGTGACGTAATTAAAAAAACAAGGAATTGAGGGTCTGATGAGGACGTCTCACACATACCTTTTATTTGGCATGTTTTAATGCAGAGCACCCTAGAGAAATGCTGGTTTAAACAGACTGGCTAACCTCTAGGACTTGCTTCAAGTTCAGTGTCAAAGCAAAATAAGAAATCCTGCTGCTGCTCTCTAGGACATTTGCTCCGTGACCTTTAAATTACTGTCACTTTAACACCCAATCTCTGGTGTCACAACTGCTTTGTTCCAGCTGATCTAAGCAATTGCCATTTATGTGTGTGTGCCGACTTCAATACGCTCCAGGACTGCAGGCTGTTATGAAAGTTCAGTCACAGGGTGGCCACAAGGAATATGTTCTGTCACTCTCAGGCCACCGCTGGCTGTAATAAACTCCTGGCAGGGGAGGACACCATGAGAAACACTGACTGAAACACCAATCAATACTCCACAACACTGCCAATTGGTAGTGCAATGGTTTATTGCATTTCTCTATGAGTGATCTTGGTGCATAATAGCTCACAACTTTAAACAACCCCCACACCACTTTTTTAAAGGGATAGTCCTCACACATGACAAAGAAACTGCATGAAAAACATCAGCTTTGTACACTCAAGCCACAGACGTAGAAAACAAATTCATAGTAACCATATACTTGATGAACAAATTACAAAGTGTGGCAAAACATCTGGATACCTTCTAGTCTATCACTTCTTGGTGCACAACTGGTACACGGGTGGCTGCCAACAGACTGGGTTTTAATTTCATTACTAAGATATGAAATAATTAAAAACGTAAGCCAGTCACTTAATCCCACAGAGCTAAACGGGTCTGAGGTCCTGCAACCCCTATATATGCAGGCACAAAAGTTTGAAAAACAGCTCTCCAATCCTACCGGCACTCATAGGATATGCTTGTGGTAGCTGATCCAGATGTGCTTGCAGCATCTGTTGAGTCCAGGTCCAGGCTGAAGGTCTGTCCCGAACTCGTACTGAAAGGACATTATCACAGTCAGTGCTTCACCACAGGCAGTCTCATCCATCCTCTAATATTAGATAAGAAGCCTAAGCTTATTTTATACTTCACATTTTCATTTAAACTTCATTCCCGTCCAACTGTTCTGAGACCAGCCTGCTGTCTCAAGCCCTCTCCACACTGGATGCATGCTGTCATTTTCATTTGTCAGATGGAAAAGCTGTCCATCAAGCTGAATGCACAGTGGATGTGATAAAAACTCAGCAAAAAAAAAACTAGAAGGATGAAGGTATCATCTACCAGCTCCAACAGAGCTGATAAAGATAGATGTAGACAGAAACAAAAACACAGGAAAGGTGATATTAGCTATGATAAAGATGTGTACAAAACTGAGGAGGCTGATAGAGGAGCTTAATGTGGTTCTGGGTACTTCAGGATGTCAACTTGTTCGCATGCTGTTGAGTTAAATTTTAGGTTTATTGATGAGCACAGGTTTACCCAGGCTCTGAAATATGAATTATTTAGCAAACCAACACTGGAGAGATTTGCAATTCATACATTTATTTATTAAATATTGATGTATATGATGTTTCCATCACAGACAGTGCATTTCTCGATAAAGAATAAAGAAAATGTAAAAACAAAAACACTGGTGGAGCACTAATTGCATTACACTGTTATACTTAACATAGCTTACTACCGATTCACAGTAATGTGCTCTCACCCAAGTGCTTTTAGAAAAGAAATCTTGTTTACAAGTTACGAGTATGTAATTTTTAAATTATTGTTACTGTACCTCCTACAGTAGAAATTGTTTTTTAAGCATACACAAATAAAAGAACAATGACATTAAAACTCAAATCTGCATTTTTAATTTAGTACAACCAAAAGTCTTTTAAGTTAAAAAAAAATAAATTATCCACAAGACCACACAGCGTAATTTGAATGAGTTGCAAGATACTTCTTATCTGTTTTCCACCACTAGTCAAAGTGATTTTAACTTGCTCATCCAATCAAACTTGTCCCTGGTGATGGACTGACCTTGTATGACAAGTAGGGATTCTGTGTGTGCAAGCTGCAACACAGAATGCACAGACCCGTGTTTGCAGTATGTGAGGTACTCATGGAAATATTCAGACAACAGACTGGGTGCACTTCTTGCAGTCCTTCTGTTAAATGCCATTTTGCATCACCAAGGTTGCAGACCCCACTCCCTGATATTTTTTAGGTCAGCCATCTCTTAAACATAGCTGGACTAAACTAAACACCTACCATGCTTGAAAAGCCCACCCAATTTGTTTTTCAATCTGACCCTTGGATTTGACCCTTGGCCCTAAACTTGATTCAGAAACTCTTTAACCGTTTTAGCAATGCTGATTTTTTTATCTATGATGCTGATGTGCTGCACACTGTAAAGGGTTAAGAAAGTGGTGATATAATATTATATATGATATATTATATATTATATTATTGTGACTAAAATCATGAATCCCTGCTTCGTCTCGAACAGCCCCAGGGAACCTTAGATTTAAAGTTGTGAACCACACATTAGAGATCGCCTGTCTGAAGCTGAATGTCTGAATGAGAAAATGAATTTTTTTTTTCTGGTACAGTACTGGTGCCAACTACACTGAATGCATGTAATTACTAAAAAAGTGAAGTAATGCAAGATGTGATGGAGGGATATTCAATTACAAACTTGTACAGGAAAGCAAAAAGGGATTTTTAATTTGATTTGAAGTATAAAATCTGAAGTAAAAACTGATCTCTAGTGTATAGTATGTACCATGTGGAATTAGATCATTTATCCTTCTTCTTTTGTTATAGCATATATTTCCAAGCTCTGACAACACTTTAAATGTTTCCAGATTTTTGTTTCTTTTTGCTAAAAACGTGCTGGAAGGTCATCCAGAGAAGAACTTTATCCTGGAAGGAGTCGCCATGTGTCAGCTACTCATAAACATCACCATGCCTGGTAAAGATATACTGTTTCTACCACCAGTGCAATGCAAATTATTAAAGAGGAAATGCATCACGAAGGGGAGATGCGAATGGAATGCACTTCTGTATTGCTGCAGGGCTCGAAAACGGCAGGAATTGAGCTCGTTGGTATAACTGTGGAAGGCTGATCCACAGATAACCTCCAAACCCCCCCCCCCCCCAACTCTGATATGTTTCTGCCTATGCTTCAATCTCTCAAATAAAGAAAATGTTATTGGTTTAATTTTCAAAAAGTAATGCACTCTGAATTAATTTATTATTCAAACTCAGCTGCCGGGGAAGGCCTTAACCTTTACAGAATGATGTAATTAAATGTCTTCACCTACCACATTGATAAAATATTTGAAACCACTTCAAGACCTTTAACAAGAGTATTTTCATAGGGAAAATCAATGCAAATTAAAGCAATTTTACTGCAAGCAATGATGATGATAAAATCTCTTGTATTCTAAGCTATGCAAGGGATAAGCAGTAATAAATGTATCTCTTTATATTTTGCAATAGAAGCAAACATCGAATACACACTACAGCTACTGCTGTAGAAGTATGTTAAATCATTTTCAGGAAAACAGTTGAGATAAAAAAATAAAGGACATAATGCTTGATGTAAGCACAATTATATTTCTGAAATGTAATGTTCAAGAAACAGCCATTGCTTCATTTGCACTGTCTTAGAAGACAATATGAACCTAGAAGTAGCCGGTCCATCCATTTTCTAACTGCTTTTTCCAGTTCAGGGTAGCGGGGGAGTTGGAACCTATCCTAGCAAGCGAAAAATAATTGGAGGAAATGTCAATTTATTTCTTAAACAATCAAGATTTTTTGAAGCGCTCTAATATCACGTTTTTTTTTGTTTCCCCATTCGGGAATTCCCTGACAGTTTTTGATCTCTTTGTTTCCCTTTGCACCTGTGTAAAAAATGGATTAAGATCAGTCTTTTCTGAGCTTGTTCACATCATCTCGTTAGCTTCAGACGAACGAAGAGAAACTACACAAACTGAGCAATAACAACACAATAAATAAGACATAAGAATCAAGGACTGAAATGGAATTTCTAAGAGGTTGCTGCTAGCTTTTAATACACTTTTATGTACAACAATCTGTGGTTATGAAGCAATTAACTCTAGAGGAAGAAGGAAAAAACGCACTGGGGACTGAAGATTCCATTAGTTATGAAATAAACCCCCCAAAAACGCCATAAAATGTTTTAACACTTCCTTGAATCCTCATGTTAAAAGTACAATGAAAGCTGTGGTTAAGACCAAAAAGTTTAAAATCAACTTATTACCTCAAATATTTCATTTCATGTTTATTTTACTTGAAAAATGATAAACTGATGTGTGAGCTGCTCCACCTTCAAAAGGGGATATTTTACTTCTTATGAAGGTCAGATGGCAGCGCTCCCTTCTGGGTTCGCAATAAAAAGGGAGAAAGAAAAGTGCTCTTAGGGTATTTCTTGCTAGATTAGTTTTATTTCCATTCAGTAAATTCAGGAAAAGGAACTACGCTGCGCATGAAGCCAGCACATTATAAGAAATTGGAGTTCTGCCGGAAAATTCTCTAAACAAAAGCAAGGAGATGCTGATTTTAATTCTTACATACAAGCTTCGCACTGCATTTATCAAATCTGTAACACTATCAGTTCCAAAAACTGAATTTACTGTTGTTGCGTTGTTATGTGCTTTATGAAAAAAACAGATCAATGCAAGAAAAAGGGTACATTTCTTAAATACTGCTAATAGCAACAAACCTAAAATATACCTAATTTGATTGCAAGTGCTACTACTGTGCCCTTTTTCTTGTGTGTTATGTATGATGATGCAGTAGTTAGAATTGCTGCCTCACATAACTGGGGCCCTGGGTTCGATTCAGGACCTAAGATGCTGTGAGCATGGACTTTGTACGTTCTACCCCAACTCACATGTACTCTATACACTGGTACACGTTCCTGGTATATTCCTGGTATACTGGTACCTATGTACATACTGGTAGGTTAATTGTCTTCTGGAATAAATGGCCCTGGTGTGAGCATGTGCTTGTCTGTGTCTGCCCTGTGATGGACTGACGTCCCACCCAGGGTGTATCCCGCCTTACACCCATTGCTTGCTGGGATGGGCTCCGGCTCCCCAGCGACCCTGAATTGGATAAAGCATTTAGAAAATGGATGAATGTATTAATGTCTGTGAATTTTACAACTGAGATACTGATACAAGCAGCATGCATTCTGAAGTTGAAATAAAAAATATGGAATGCTATTTAGAGGCACATTACCTTTTCAAACTCTGTAGTTCATCCAAAGTGAAGTCAAATATACTGGCCATATGGTGGTTTGTTCTCCAGGTGGATGTTAGGTCATTCTGTAATGTGATTACAAGTATTATTAAAGCAACATGTACGGACAATATAGGTTTCTCCTGCCAAGACCACACAAATCTGTTTAAAGGACACAGCTGCATGAAAGTACTGCTAAATTATTTCAAGGAAAAAAAAATCTTTTAACTTTGATCTACTGCAGAGGACTAATAGAAAATAAGGGGGCAGAGGGTCCGGACATTTGACAATAACATTCAGGTGGTAAAATGTGAGTGATTTTCCCCATTCGTCCAGAGCAGCAGCTTTAGACCACCATAATGGTGCATTAAATTACTAGTCTTATAAGGAAGAGGCTCAATTCACATTCCAGAATAGCATTCAGCACTCTCTGCAGTGACATGCAAACATCACTGGGCCACGGGCTGGCAGGTGTACCAAATACAATAGAGAGGACAATTTAAGCAGAGCAAAATCAGGACACACGTATGGGAATTTAGCCTCCCAGCAGAGCCAGGGGGTCTTCAACAGCTGCAAACAGTCAGGGTGTAAGTTCAATACAGAGTGCAATAGACAAACCAGCCATTCTGACGATGAACATAATGAACTGAACCAAGGGCCCAGCGCTGAGAGACAGCAATGCTGACCTCTGTGCCAACATGCCACCCCTCCACAGCTTACATGTTCAACACAATTCAGCTCATACAGTATATATACCTACTGTCCACTACAGTCTGAACCAGCAGTGAGTCCAAATGATTGAAACCCTTCCTATCATATCTCTAGTACTGCAGGTATTTTTGCTCCCCTGAGGTGACCAGCGCCTGAAATCAATGCCCACTAGAAATCAAATTTCCAATGTTAGTGGATTAATAATGTTATCTAGACGATTAACAAATCTTTTGTAACACAATACTGCAATGGAATGGAGTGTCACGTCCAAAAGCGTATGGACAATAAGGTTACACGAAGAACAATGCCTTTCAGCTTCAATGATCTTACTCACACCCTGGCAAGACTGCACAGAAGAAAAACCATGTAGATCCAAAAGATACAAAACAGACAGCAAAAACATTTCTAATTAAAAAATTGACATTAATAAGCATTGCACGTCTGCATATTTTCAGGAAACAAAGCTTAATCATTTGTAGTGTTTTGTTAGTCTCATTAAAAGACTTAATGTAAATAATCTGCAATTCATAATACAATTCAAAATATACAGTTCTGTTGCATCTGTTCTTTCCAGACAAGAGAGAGAAACACATCAGATCATGATATGGAACAGAAATCCGAGCAAATGAACAGGACACAGGACAAAACAGGACCAAGTGTTCTGGTGCTACAAGGCATGACTCACGTTTGGGATAGCATCCTCCAGCAACCACTTAGACCTCTTCTTTTTCATCCTTTTCTGGGGCTGAAATTCTGGGGGCAATGAGCTGCATCAAGAGGGCAAAACAATGTTAGAAGTGGATTGCCAAAAACACAACGCAAAATCCTTTTAACAGCTCACAGAGATTAAGAATAGGCAAAACATCCCAAGGTAAAAGTGTTTTTTGCATGCTGATGAACTTAATAATAAGTGAATGCACTTGTATTTAAAACTTAATAATCAATGGAGACAGATGAGATACAGTACAGCATATAGTATATTCTGCCAATTACTCGCACAATATTCTATGATGCTGCTCCTGTGTTACCATTATCCAAAAAATTTGTTCTATGTGTTCTAAATCTTAATGGACTTCTTGCTCTGCTTCAATTCCACTGCATCAAAATAGTTTTATAAATAGCATAGTATTGCTTGCATCTAACTACTTTCACAATATTTAAAACCTTACTTCCGTGACCAGGCTATATTCATTGAATGGGTTGTCTCTCTGTTGGAGATCAGGCCCCTTAATAAATCAGATAGAACAACCTCTGGAGAGCCAGTGGGTGACTCCATCTGTAATTACCTTTTCTCATAGGTTTAAACCCAGGCCACAACTCTATATAACAGAATAAGTCAAGAGTTGTTTTTTGTTCACTCCCTTCAGCACATGTTGTGAATGTCTCTTGTGAAGGGTACGCAGAGTGCTGGATTTTTTTTTTGCTGGCCTTAGAGTGAAGGAAATTATCATATATATATATAATTAAAAATGAGAAGCATGTTCAATTGAAGGTACAGGGACAATATGACAGCAACAGGAAACCTATTTCAAGGCTCAAAGTATTATTTTTGCATGGATTAGAAGTCAATTTCCATTTAACATTAATAGCCACGGTTACAGTCCATACCGAGAATGAATTGACTGGCTATTTGGTTAAAAAAATGCACAGAGAGAAATAAAATGTTTTCCCTCATTAGATGTAGGCTGAAGGGCACTTGGACTACATTATGGCATAACACATTTTTCATTACTGAAGCAATGATAGATAAATGGAAAAGGAATATAAATATACAGCACCTATGCCCATATACTAAAGTACTGAATCTCTTTCTTAGAGAAGAAAACTAAGGTATTTTGACTTTTTCCATTAGAAGTTTAATTTCTCAGAATGCATCTTTGGCAAAGAGGATAGGAGTTTTTTAAATGTCTGAAATTTGTAAACCAATCCAATTCATCTTACATGTTCAACTAAAACTTGATACTAACTAACGAACCAACTGGTCTTTGTAGCAAAAAATGCAACATTCATCTTTATTCCGAAAACTTCCCAAATTTCCAACATAACACACCTGTTCCTGCCCCTCCCTCTCTTCCTTCCTTCCCTGCCCTCCGAGTTCTGTGCTCTCTCTGGGAACAGCTTGGAGGGAGGACTAGGAGGGACACGCGTTCTCAGACGGAAGATGCATTTCCTCTTTTTAATTTCCTTTCCACAAAGAAACCTGCACACAGTTGAGAATGAAAAGATCGATAACAGACAGCAACATTCATCAATTACTAAGATCTTCAGAACTGCGTTAAGAGAATTGTGCTGTGCCCAGACAGACATTAGACAACAGGGAAATTTAGAAGGAGAGAAACTGTATTGTCTCAACACTCCCATCAAGGTCCCTCTCTGGCTGCACCACTCTAAAAATAAAGTGTTCCAAATTAAATTGCACAAAAAGCTATTTTGCATTTAATATAATTTATACAAAATATTTTAACAATTAAAAACTGCACAAAATACAGCCAATAAATTATTTCTGGGCTATCTTCACTTAGGTAAATTAAATACAGGTTCTGTTTGATTACTGGAGAACAGCCTATCCAAGGAAGCAGTTTTTGCAGTATCAGCATACATTATCATTACAAAATCATTCTGAGAAAAGAAGGAAGTTGTCTTACTTGCTTTTATAGTTATTGAGAGCATCCAGCACATACTGGCTTCTTTCTGTAACAGGAGTGTTGGTGAGCTGTGTGAAAAAGGAACAGTATATATAAAAGCAGAAACAGTATTTATTCCACACGGTAGTATTTCAGGAAAGATTCTATTTCTAAAAAAATGGAGATAAAGCATAAAATTGTGCAAAAATAGGTCTGGTGAGGACAAAGGGAGCAGGTTTGGTTCCTGTTCATTTCTGCAAAGCGAAGGCCATGATCTCTCTAGGAACAGCAGCACAAGTTGATTGTTGCTAATTCAATCTGGCAACTCCATTCGTTAAGCAAAGATTAAAAGCCCAACAGCCAAATTTCTAAACTCCCACTGCACTGAAATCCTGGCATCACTGTCTGCTGAGGGTGAAAGGGCTGCCAATATTATCAAGATGAACAACCAGAACTATTCTAGAGCATATTCTAGTAATAAAACATAATGAAGTGATGGATAACATTTTAAGACTTTTTGCAGGTTACAGAATGTGCAAGGTTTTGTAACTTTAAAAATCGGCCCTTATCTACATATGCCTACATTTGTTTCACATTTATTGTCACTTTTTTCCCACCTAATATTGATTATTATTAATAATTTTAATAATTTAATTAATATTTTCCTTGCACTTGTTAATTACATCTCCTTATTTTGCTCACAAAAGAAGCAACTTACCTTTCCAAGCTGGAAGTGATCCCAGTTGTTACTAACAAAGTGGAGAATCTCCTCCAGCTCAAAGTACTTCTTTTTACTTTGCACTCCCAGATTGTACAGAGCAAGATGAACCACATCGACCCTGAGGGAACGCAAGGCCCTAAACGTCAGGGTGATCCTCAAGGTCCTATAGAGCACAAACTTACCTCCTGTGAGTTTCATGCACAGTAAGATTTACATACAAACAGTCTGTCTCTACATAACCATATCCATGCAACCTTCGTATTAACTTTACATTTTTAAAATCTTGTCCTTCAGATGAGACATAAAACTGAGGTCCTGACTCTCTGTGGTTATTAAACATCCCAGGGTGTTTCTCGAAACGAGTAGGGGTGTAACCCCGACATCCTGACCAAATTTCCCATCAGCCCTTACCAATCATGGCCTGCTAATAATCCGCATCTCTGAACTGGCTTCATTACTCTGTTCTCCTCCCCACTGATAGCTGATGTGTGGTGAGTGTTTTGGCACACTATGGCTGCCGTCGCATCATCCAGGTGGATGCTGCACATTGGTGGTGGTGGAGGGGAGTGTCCAGAAAAGCGCTATATAAGTGTAATTATTATTATTTTCATATGTTCATCTCATTTCAAATTTCAATTCAATATTCATAGCTTTTCCATAGACAGTTCTCATCTGAAATACAGTGGGCATCCACTAAAAATTTAGTGAAGCGTTCTGGAGACATTGCAATAACACTCTTAAAAGGAGGTGTTACAAAAGACATTTATAAATGCAATAATCTATTAATAGAGTGACAACCATGTTAATAACCAAGATTAGCTGCATATTAGTAATAAATGTACATTATTTACACTTGCATTTATACTTTTATTTTTTGTTGTTAATTGTGATTCTTTGCAGTTCAAAGATTGAAGCTAGGCCAACATTTCTGACCATTATCATGCCTGAATATACTCAACAAGTGAGGAGAAAAAAAGGGAAAAAAACGTGTAATCTGAAGCGAACTTTATCCTATAAATGCCATAGCAAGCATTAAAAGGTTCATGAAAAACGAAAGTAAAATTGACAGGCCTTAATAGTCCTGTCAAACTGTAACCATTGTCAAGGCAATTGGTGCTGCAATCTCCCCATGTGTTTGATGTTAACATTGTGTGCAAGACTGTTCCATTTGCCTCAGTCAACAGGAGCTTGGTGTGAAAATCTCATACGCTGCAGATGAGTGAATGCACTCCTGCCCTTAATGTACAAAAAAACAACAGGGTGTTTGCCACTGTCAGCTCCAGTATTTCATTAATGCCAGATCTAGATCTCATGCCTGAAAAATTAGATGAGGGACGTGTCTGGAATATCCTTTGATACAAATTCATTCATGTATAAGACCTCCCCCTTGTGGTTTTATTTTAAAAGTATCAGGAGAACCCAGTGAGTAACAGCTCCGAAACTAAGGAATTTTATCCCGAATTCCAAGGTATTGGTTCTTCTGATTTTTGCTCCAAACAAAGCACTCAATTAAACAATTAACCCGTTCTCTTACTTAGATGTCTAAAGTATTTTTCTGAAAGTGTGGATTACTCAAAGTATTCGCTTCATTACTGCCCCAGTTACTTGTAAAAAACAACAGAGTCTGGTCAGAATAATCACAATTATGCAGTTAAATTATTAGACCAATAAAGTAACGGAGTCCAGTTGGAACAAAAACCACAGGTTACTCGGCTTTTCACGAATTCAATATGAGCCCTCTGAACTAGACACTGCTTTGAGGGCAAAACAGCACCCACACTTTATGTAATCACAGGTGAAAAATAATTAAGACAGATTATGAAAATGACTTCCAGCATAATCCGTCTGTAAATAATTATTACCTAAAATATTGATCTGAAAGTTAATTTCTGATTGCAGCAGTAAGCTTAAACTTACTTACCATCTTAGGGCTAAGCGTTTGATATACTCCACTCCCTTATTGCACACAGCACAGATAAACAAATAGAATCTGTATAAAATAAAGAAAAGGTGCTGTTAAACATCTGAAGGGCTCAAATGATGATTTGTGAACACAATCTTTAATAACTCCAAAACAAACACACGCATTAGAGCATTTCAAGATAAAATCCTGGCCTTGAACATATCACACTCCTGACATCCCCATCACAATTTCCATAACTACTGTATTTATTTCTTCAAAAGATGATGTTAGTCTAAACATTGCCCATGGGCCATGTTCATACAGTACAATTAACTAAAACATTTTAAATAATTCACGTCTTTTTTGATGCGTCAGAGTTGCCAATTTAGAGGATATATACAGCTGTGTTTACACTCATTAGAAAGGGAAGATTTAACATCTTTAGCAAATCACAACCTCTGGACAATTAGTGGAAAAAACATTTAACCTGTGCTCTTATTGAGATTAAAAAAAACAGAAAAAAACAAGAATTTCAGAGCTGTATTCTTTTTTATCAAGGTTAATTAAAACAAACTCTTCTAAGGAAGACTATCCTTTACAATCACAATTAGTGAGCAATTAACTGGAAGATTTAAACGAGGGACACCTATGAGTATCGCACCCCAGCTGTGCTGCCGATCTGGGTCCAGCTTCACAGGGCCTTATAAGAAAAACTGCTGTGAAATCACAGATCTGGTCAGACCAGAGCTCATCCTGGTGTCCCTGGCAGCTAGTGAATGAAGGAGTCCCCAGAAGGTTTATTGCAAGGATTACAACCTGAAATGCTGCTCCCCATTTATACAGTTGGGTAGACTGGAGCACCAGGGGTAAAGTACTGTACATCAAGTGTACAACACCAGGGTAACACCAGGGACTTGAACCTACAACCCATAGGTTATGAGACCAGTGACTTGTCCACTACGTTATTCTGACCCAAATGTCAAATATATCTTAAAAAATATCTCCTTATCCCCTTTCCTGAACATGGCTTGTGCATACTGAGTGAAGGCCAAAGTAATCATGTTGCTAACCATTTGAAAGTAAATACAGCATGGACAAAATTAATTGTAAATTTAATGAGACACTTTAATTCTGCTGCAAATCAACAACCAAGTTAAATTCCTAGAGGAAACATTAAACAACATTAAAAAAACTGAGAAAACCTGCTTCTGATTCACCTCCTTTCCTCATAGCTATCTTAAAAAAAACACATTCCAACAGCTAAGCAGACTGGAGGTCTTTATCCCAACAGGACTCATTTTTCACCACGCACCTGTCTCCAAACATCATGGACTCATGCAGGCACTGCACGCAGGCTTCATGAAACCACTGACGACACCTGAAGCATTGCAGCATCTTAAGGTACCATCTGGGAAAGGAAATTTGACAAAAAAGATTAGCTTTAAATTATGAAATGCCTGTGACCAACTGACATTGAAAGATAACAGGAAGGCAGACACCTTAATTTAATTAGCATGGTATCATTTATTTTGTACATTCAGCAAATGCTTTCCTGCAGTCTGGCCATTGCTGAGAAGAATACAGCAAATCATGGCTTTCAGTACAATGGCAGACGTGCCCAGCCTGCCTGGGGCTGGTTTCATAAGGCTGAAAATGTGAAATAGCTGGGAATCAAGAAGAGACAGCAAGGGGCATGTCTTATTTATGCTCAGGTGTTAAAACAAACATCCTTTCCTCAGCTGAACCCCTTACAAGAAAAAAACAATGAATCCCCGTCTATCAAAACAGGCAAACTTTAAAAAAAGTCAGTCAGCACAAATACTACAATTGAAAAACATAGAGTGCATTTCAGATGATCTTTATCAAAATAATTCATCTGTGAGGTTTACGAGATGCTGAACATTGACTACTTAATTCTGACATGAGATGAAAAATGGGAAGAATGCTCCAGTGTTTTTTTTCTCCTGCTCTTTATGCACATTTTGAGCAACTGACTGCTCACAGTTCCATTTTACTGCGAGTCAAGTTTCTTTTAAAGCAAAAGAGATTTTCCTCTGTGAGGTGAGCAGAGGTAGGGAAATGTCAGGACGTTCTGCCCACCCTGTTTACTCCCACCCAGCTGGAATAAACAGATAAACAACTTTAGGCTAATCAAGCCAAGTGATGGCTCAAGCAGGAAATAGCTGATCAAATAGGTTTCAGGCAGGAAACAATTTTTTTCCCTCCAATATACAGTACAGTGGGCAACGTCTGCCTATCTGCCCCCTCCCAGCCTCTTTGCAGCGCCTGCAAGACACAACTAACACGTCCCTCAGAGGAGCCGGCCACATCACAAGGCTGGTGTTTTGCTACAGAAGGCTTGAATGCGGCTGGGGATTCTGGAAAGTGTTTACGCCTACAACACAGAGCATTACACGCACATGTCCTTAACCTTCACTTTTCCTCTTCGATATCCCTCAACACATCACCAGAAGGACAGAAGAGAAGGAAAGGTGGTGACTCCCGGGACACACTTGGTTCAAGCCCTGGCATTGCCACAGGCAGCATACTTAACAACCTTGTCCTCTGTCCTTGGATAAAAGAGTAAAAGACATTTCTCTTGGGGGAGCTTAGTTAGTAGCAATAAAGCCCATTATAAACACCTGCATTTTCCTTAATAGACTTGACTACTCAAGAGGGCTAAAAGCAGTTTTTGCCCAATACCAGCTAAGCTGGGCCTAAACAGCACACAGTAACAGCCTTGGGTCAGCATCTGCAATGTCTATGTGGTCAGCTGGAAGTAGAAATTTTATATGATACATTAAAAAACAGCTGCCGATTACCAACTGGCACAAGCAGAATCTGCTTCCAAAAGGACAACATAAATACTGTAATTATTATTAACTTACTCGCCAGGCCCCCCACAGTAGCAGTAACATTGCTGTTGGTTGGTTCTGTGGAGGGAGTCCCACTCCAGCTCATCTGGGTTGTACGTCAGCACTTGTTTCATTGCCTGCAGTGCTTTCGCAATGGGGCCTTTCTTCAATGCCCCACCTTTCTGCAGAACAAGAGAAAAGCGTGCTGTCAATATACAACAGCTTCAGGAACCAGCGAGTGATCATCAACGTCTTTTCAACAAACAGTTTCAGGAGACTACCATCTGGGGTGACTAACTTGTGCAAAATACTTGCTATAACCCCTGAGAGACAGGAGAAGCCCAATGGGTAGTGTCCTCTTTCTTGATAAAAAGGGCACCAGGTGTCGACATCTAGATTGACATTTTCATCTTCACAAGAAGGAAGGAACCAATTGACAAAGCAGAAATCTTTTACAAAGAGGAATAATTCCTCTTTAAGATGTTTGCATTCTGTCTGTAAAATTCTGCCTGAGCATAGTATGAAAGATAAGATCACTTTATTAGCCATATACAGTTTCTTGCATTAGGAATATTTGTCTTTTCACATAACCCAGCTTGCTCTCAATGAGACACACAGACAGGGAGAGAAGCCATTAATATGGAGCCCCTGGAGCAGTTGGGGTTAAGGGCCTCGCTCAGGGGCCCAACGGAGTAGGATTCCTCTGCCGGCCGCCTTCCAGCCACAGGTGCAGATCCTGAGCCACAGAGCTACCGCTCCGCCACTTCAGTTCAGAAAGAATTCTGAACCACAAAACGGTTTTTATGTCATATACCCCTTTTGTGTTTTATTTGAACAACCAGTCAAGCAATGAAAACCAAACACAAGAAACACCTTTCATTGAAATTACAGGGTTATGAAAATGAAAAAAAATATATATTTTTTTTCTTATTCTCCTCATCTTCATTCAGAGAGGCTGAAAACCCATAGACAGCCTGTCTCATCTCTGTATTTCACTCACCCTCACCGCTAATGCAAAAATGCACCTCCTGCAAAACCAGGGTGACACATCCAAAGTGCTTTCCACCTGGGGAAGATGACACTGTTGGTGATAACCTGGCAAAGCAATGAAGACCAAGAAAGAAGATTAGCTGTAACATCAACAAATAAATCTGCAATCTGCTGCCTGCTTAATAGCTTCTAACTAAGTCAGTCCCAAGAGGCTGAGTACTTTCTCCTCGGCTTCATTCAGTCACTCAGCAAGACCAGCTTTATGAAAATTAATTATAACCATCAAAGAATCATCTGAGCCCATTTTTCTTTATTTACTATCTTTTCTGCTGGGAATGCACAATGATGAAAATGAGAGACTTGTATGGTTTCCCAGCATACTGTACATAAAAAGAAAAAATATATATTCATGCAGTGCGGGTGGTACTGTGCTATGAACACACACAACAGAAGTCTTACAATTTTTGACTTCTGACAAAAACAAACACTTCAAAATAAAAAAATATATAATTTTTGCATCTGACTAGCCCTGAAATATTTTTTTTAAGTAAGAGCGGTAAACAGTTTTTTCTTTGTTAATTTTACAGGCCTGGGCTTATAAACGTGTCCCATGACCCTGAACTGGATTAAAGGGGTTAAAAAATGGATGGCATAATAAATTAAATTTATAACAAATTAATCTTACAAATTGACCTCAGAAAGCCTTTGTATGTGTGGGTTACAATTATTTAACATGGCATTTTCAGCACTTTGTCGTCTTGTTTTCCAGTAATAGAGTGCATCACAATCAGCCTGTTTAAACAGCTTCCACTTGAAACTGGGTATCACTGAATCAAAATGGGGAAATAGCCAATTTTATCAAGTGCATGGCTCTGGTATATTAAAAAGGGGCTTTAATGTCTGTAGCTAGTGATATACGAAATAGTCTCAAATGTCCTCCCTTCTGGGCTTTAATAACCTTTTCCAACAGCACAGACCAATCCCGATGACAAATTTGAGGTCTCTGTTTAGAAAATTCAACTGCATCATGTTGCAAATTTGCAATCAATACAGGTGCTTCAAACTGATGAATCATCAAGCACAGTTTGTGAATAAGGTGCACTGACTAAGCTTCTGTGATTTGCTCTTATTCATAAAAGCAAAAATTGCCTCCTATCCCACCTTGGATAAATCTAAGATGTCTTTCTAAATCTGAAACTGCCGTATTAGACAGCAGAAAGCAGGTGGTGTAATAAAGAAACTGAATATTTAATCAGGTCCCTTCAGGGAACGTGAGGAGATGAGGAAATACATGTCATTTCCATTTACTCACCTATTCCACATTTGCCACATATGAGGATTTCATTGTCTGACACCAGAGCCAGTCCAGAGCACACACTACACTTGGGCTCCTCCCCCGGAACCCCAGCTGCGAACAAGTGCAAGCAGAGCGGCAATCAAGAAAGAACAAAACCTTTGAACAATGCTACAGCACTTAAAACTGCACTAAACACCACACCAAGTATCTGCAAAACAGAACTTCACCATAAAAGCTTCGGAGGCAATTTGCAAATCTTGCCGAAAGCACCACCTGCTAATGTGAAAGATGTATGGTGTCGCGATGTCTTTGTATTAGGTGAAATGCTCATGGCAGGTCACTTACGCACCCTTTCTTAAAATGCATGTATCCATGGCTGTTGTGGTCTGTACACATAGTTTTAGGTCAGGACTGGTGTAAAAGTTGGCTTAAAAGATTCAGTTTATATAACAGAGTTAAGGTTATATGGGAGACTTCTGGGAAAGCTAAGGTTGCTGCTTGAAGAAGTGTTAGTGAGACCAGCAGGGGGCGCTCACCCTGTGGTCTGTATGGGTCCTAATGATGCGGTCATTAAAAATTCCAGGTCTTTCTCAAAAAGAGTAGGGGTATTACCCCGGCATCCTGGCCAAATTTCCCTGTGGTCCTTACAATCATGTCCTCCTAATAATTCCCGTCACTATACTGGCTTCATCACTCTGTTCTGCTCCACACTGAGAGCTGATGTGTGGTAAATGTACCATACTGATGCAATATGGCTACTGTTGCATCAGTTGGGGGCTACATGTAAATGGTGGAGGGGGAGTCCCCATTACCTGTAAGGTGCTTTGAATTGAATAATTAGGAAAGGAACTATCAGGTTAGGTTCTATACGGAACAGGCTAATGCACAGCCCACCTACAGACAACACACAGGTCTCTGTCCCTTGACTACAGCCAACCGCCCAGTGTAGGACGGTGCTCCCAACTCTGTGGCAACAAAACAGCAACAAACGACATTCCATCCTGTTTCAGTGCGCATCTGAAATGGAGGGCATTTGCTTTTTACAAAGGATGTTCTTTCCCCTTTCTAAAACAGTGTGTTGCTTATACAGCAACTGTTTTAAAATCCTAGTTGTTACAAACTGTGCTGTCTGATGTGACCTGCAATGTAAAATACAGTAAGTGCTGGACAAAGGCGGAAATGAAGTATCATATTTTCAAAGAGCTAGTGTGAGCTCATGCATTTATGTATACTGCTAGATTTTAGACAAGAAAAGTACTGACACATAAGGTGCTGACAGAAATAAAATGTCGGAAACTTTGTTCTGTAGCATTTCATTTGTGAAAGATTTATGGCCTGTCAGACTACATTACTTGTAAACATGAATACATTTCTGAAGCTGTGTTGTGTACCAGGATTATATAAACATGAGTGGAGAGGGAAACATGACAAAAAAATATATATTTTTTTGCCAGAAAACAAATAATTAGCTTTCACGTATTAAAGGACTCTTCTGTTTCTTTATTGAAGCAAGACTTGGACCATGCTTAGAATGGTTACAGAAGCATACAGCCTTATTTCCAATTTTTATTCCTAAGGGTAAATACTGTTGGGTTTCCTTAATTTTCTGCTGTAACCTGAACAGCTTGTTGTCTTGAGATTCTTTCCCCTGTACACCAAGGGGCGACATTAGAATTAATGACTGATTTGAATGACACTGTGGCCAGAGAGCTATCAACCAAACCATGCTAAGTTTCAGGGTGATTTCTACTGGTTACAAGACAACAGGTGGGCAACATTCCTCATTGCATTCACCAAAAGGTTAGACTAACGCCGCATAAAATGCCAGTTTTCTACTAGAAATGCCAATGAAATGTGCATTAATATAATACGATGGCTTACTTTTCATTTACAGAACAGCAGGACACCTGGCATTCTGTGGAGTCTGCAGATGAACAACTCTCTTCTCTTCTAACTCATACTCTATTCTGGAGTTTAATTAGTACCATCAACTCACCATGCTGAATGTCCTTAAATAAAACCCAGAATTTGGAGTTATCCTCAAAGGTGACAAAGCAGCTCTGCTTGGAAGTGCTTACCTACACGTACATAACACAAATGTGAAATAAGAGAGAAAAAATCAATTAAAAAAAGATCAACTTCAGAGGTCTGTGAAAACATTTAAATTCTTCAGTTCCAGGAGCCAGTTTCTTCATGTGTGAGCAAGCCTGTAGGTGAAGGTACTGTAGGCAGATTGAGAGCAGTTTTCAGCTGTTTGAGAATCCTGATGTTCCACCTCTTCTTGGGTATTAAAGTGTCAGCAATGCAAGAGGTCTGCTCCCCAGACAGATAATCTGCTCTCCTAAATCCAGTCCTTACAAAGGTGTAATAGCCATCATTAAAGAAGCCAATGTACATAACACTAGCCATCTTTATACTGTAACTTGTGTAGCTATAGTCTAACGTAGGTAGGACATTGACAGTATAACAATGATTTTAGCCTAATCAAAAACATAAATTTGAGGCATAACCTTGAAGGGCTGAGATTTGATAAAACAGGCGACACAAATTCCATGTGTTACTGCTCGTTTTCTTTAGACCTCCTTTTAAGAAATGGACCTTTCCTCTCCAGCTTCAGAAACTATACAGAAACATGCCTGGACCCACAGAATTCAGTGGCAGACATCATTACAAACCACTGCTTGAGCCGAAGATGAAGGAACAGCGTGTTCGGCAGGTTGAAGAGGAAGTCACTCACTCTCTGAATCTTTCCTAGGTAATACAGCCCGTCTGACCACCGGCACAACACATACTGCCCTTCCGTCACACTGCTCTCCATGTCCGTGCAGTTTTTTCCTTGCTTCTGAGGGGATCTCTTGGGCTCCAACTGTTCATGGCTCTTGGTGCTATAGATACCCCTGTAGGGCTCCAGCATGCCGCTCTCCATGAGCCCCCAGAAATCCTATCGCTTCAAATGAAAGAATAAACATAAAACCTTCAGACGCACTAGCACACCAAAGCAAAACAGCAAACTTGGTGACACACATGAGCATTGTTTGTAGAGTCACAGCAATTCACAAATGTGTCTGTTCGGAAAATAAAACCAAATTACGTAGTGTGAAATACCGTGATATTATTTCTCTTAGGCAGCCCTCACACAATTTGTGTGGTTTTGCCATGTTCTTTAATACATTATTTGATACCCCTGTGTGCTTCAGATATCTCTGTATCATATTTGTAAAACAAATTCTGCAATTTGTACAACCCAATAATCCTAACATCTGTTACATACACACAGTGAAGGAACTGTTTTTTATCTCAGTTTATTCATTAACTCCTTATTAAATTATTAACTTAGTCTGAAAGTATCAGGGAATGATTAGGCTACTAAATTTAAACCAAACTGAGATCATCTGTAGAACACAGGCAAGACTTAACGTGCTGTACTAACAGGATGAAACAGAATGAATCCCTTTCATTTTAAGTGCTTTACAGAAATACTTGCAAGTTGAATCATCACAAAGACAACCCCAACCACAATTTAACTGCACAGTATGTGACTTCACTTAAATAACGGTAAGTTACTCAAATGGAAAACAAGGCTTTGCCACTAGGGGCTATCCGAATGAGGTCCGGCTGAAATCGGTGTCTCTGCAAGTGTTAGTTTACAGAGAAAAAAACTCATGAAAATAGAAGACAGATATGCAACAGGGATTTCTTAAACTGACAAAAAAGACTTAGTAAGAAAAAGGTGCAAAGTACAGTTAGCGAAGCTGTTATCTGCGATCAAAATGATATTATAATTTTTAAATGTATCCTTTTAAGTGCCCCAAAGCCTGTAGGAACCCCGCCCCTCCAGCGAGCTGCGAGCTGAGTCGCGCTCTGTCGTAATCACAAACAGCGACAGGGCACGCTGGGCACGCTTTGTTGTGTGTGTGCTGCAGGTTCAAAAGCTGACACGTCCCTTTGGCTTTTTTTGGTAATGCCCCTCAGCAAGTGCAAAAAGCAACGTGTGCCCATTTATATGAAAATATTATTTTCTGAAAGCACAGTGAAGAAGAGTAGCAGAGAACTGAACGCGAATAACTCCCCTCACCACAACCTTTGCAATCTGATTTCACCGATAAAAGCAATACAACTACACAGTGCTCGGCACCTTGCTCGTTATACGCCACACCTCACTGTAAGGCTCCTGTAAACTAATTAACATTTTAAACATTACGGATGCATTCATCAAAATGTGTCCTTTACTCAACTGCGAAAAGTAAATGCAAAGGCGCGGACGCAACACTTTTTGCAACTTCAGACAAGCAATAAATGACCTTAGAAAATTCATAAAAAGCTACTTACATAAAAAAAAAATTATAATGTTGTCAGCCAAAATTACCGAAAGATCACTGCATAGTCTATCGATGTGACAGAACGTGACACAGATGTCTTGAGTGTTTGCGGTTATTTTATAGTTTTTAAGAAAAATCCCGCACCGGAGATGATAATACTGTACTGCAAACTTTGTTTCTAATCGTCCATACAGAATGACTTAAGTATGAACACGGATCTCTAAGAAAGTAAAACCTATGCTTTGATAACTACGAATCCAAACAAATTCAGTCTATTTTATTAAAGCAAAGTTTTTAAAAAAAAAACTTTTATCAGCAAAACCAGCAGATATAGCAGATAACATTTGCCTCGTCTTCGCTTACCGATTTAATAGGCCTCCGGAGTGCAGAAAATACAAAACAGAATTTCTTTAAACTCGTTTTGTGTCTCCCATTAGATGTAGTATACTTTATAGCGGGATGCTGGGGTGAAGCAGCTATATCTAAGGTTTCAGATTGTGCAAGTCGCCATTTTTTTTTTGCTTTTTCCCGCGAATCATTTACGTTTTGCTTATGTAATTAACATAGCCCCATCATCATCATCATCATCATCCAGGAAGTCAGTCTAAACTTCTTTTGAACCCCGTCTCTTGTATCTCACAACATTTTAGCAACGTGCACTTATATAATCTTACAACTATAATTTAATAAGTGAAATAATTTGGTATTGAAAGCCAGTGTATTCGATTTTAAACAATATTAAAGTATTAATAGTAGAAACAAATCAACAATAACATTATTAAACTTATGATTGATTGTGTCACTCGGAAGAAGTTCATTGATGTTAATTTAAGATAACATTGTATTTCCTCTTGTTGACACAAATATGGATACAGTTTTGTCTTTGTAAAACTGGATGATACATATAAGTAAAAAAAACATTTTGCACATTTCAGATTTAAATTTTTCAGTTACTGCACGTAAAAGACAAAATTGTGTCAGGCTACGTTGTATATAAAACAATGGGCCTATTCAAAATAATAAAAGTGCATCAATAAATAAAAGTGAAATATTAATAAGCTGAACATGTATTTGTTTCATTTAGCGCAGATTAAGTCTCATTAATTGAAAAGGATGGGCAATAACATAATAAAATTTTAGGAAATTGTAATAGACTGTAGTTTAATGGGACATTCTTTGATTGTTTTGAAACAGACTTCTGGAGCTTGACATGGTTAAATAGTAATCACCAAATATCAATAACATTGTGTCTTTGCATTCTTATATATATATAAGGTTCTGATTGACAAGAACTTTAAAGCCTGAAATAAATCAAGTAGCAATGGAATGGGTGTCTACCTTAATCCACAAGCTTTCTTGCACTGAACTAGCCTCGTCAGATGAGTAGGATGTAATACAGTAGATGCAATGCTACAGAACTCAGTCCTTTTATTCCTGAGGCTATTAACCTGTTTAATTTGGAAAATTGATTGTATGTTTGACTTTGTACTTATTTATTCCTTTCTCATAATACATATGTCTCTTATTTGTTAATGTGTTCATCTCACGTTACAACATGATTGCATATTGTGTTATGTCTTTTACCTGCCCGAAAAGCAAATTTCCCATCTAGCATAATAAAAGAAAATAAATACTGTAAGTAGGATAGAGTGATTAGAATACAAGTAGAAAATGGTGAGAACTATTATATAACTATTATAACACTATTATATAATATAATAGTGTTATTTGAACTGACAATTAAAATCCAGAAGGCAGACTACAGCACTTGTTTTTAATTTAAGAAAAAAAAAACTATGAAGGAGTGACACTGAGCTTAGTGAAAGTAAGCAAAATACATACAGTGTATGGAATAACAAATTTGTCCTTTCAAAAACATTAGCCATTGAGGCCAAAACTGATACAAAGCACTTTTCCTGCCAATATTACAACAGCAAAAACATGAGTATGAGTATTAGTATCATGAGTATTAAGAGATCACCAGTGAGGATGAAAACAAAAACTGCAAAATTATTTAAATTAATATTTTACAGAGGTATTTAATAAGGAAGAAACAACCTGATGCTCAGCATTAAGCCATCTTGGTATGATAAAGGTTGATGACAGACCCAGAGATATACCCATTCCCAACAAGTGGGACAAATCTGATCTTGGAAACTAAAGACCAAATACTGCAGGTCTATTATATGTAAAAATAAGGAAACATTATCTAGAGGTAAATTAGAAGATAATTTGTGTACTAACAAGACTCTAATAGGGCAGGAAAGAGGATTATGAAAGGCAGAACATGTTTAGCATACAGCACTTGTAAAATGTCTTTGAGCAAGCATCAGCAGCAACTGAAGCAAGCAGCGCTCATGATGTAGTTTAGATATCCAGAAGGGTTTATCATATTCCACATACAGTACAAGGTTAATTTTCTAAATAAAAGCTATAGGAAGTGACAAAGGTGGTCCATGCAAGTAAATTGAAAGCTACCTGATTAATGTTCAAATAATTGTACATTGGAGCACCATAATTAAAGACGTTACAATGAGATTTATATTAGGCTTTAGCTGCTATTTCAATGTCAATCAATGATCTTGACTTTAACATACAGTAAGTAGACAACTTGTAAATTCTATGGTTGATATACAATTGAAACAGCTAAGAACCAACAAAGAGACTTAGAAACTCTTGAGGACTGGAAAGAACCTGACAAAATTAAATGCAGTCATGAGCAAAAATGTATCAGATGAGTGATGCAGCTTTTGTAGGAACCATCTGTGAAACAAATTTTAGGTTAGAATTTAAGTTAGAATTTGACAAATTATTTTCATTAACACTTGAGATGAAGCAAGAAAGTTAACAAAAATAATTTGTTAAAATTATTTCTCTAAATCATCTTGTCTTTCTTAATAAAGGAAACAAAATTCTAAGGTATGCAGTTAAAATTCAGCCAATTACATTATAATTATAAGCAATTTAAGAAAGAATGTAATTAAAACAAAAATAGGACAATGCCATCCTCGATAAAAAAAAATCAAATGTCAGTGAACAGAATTATTCCTTGTCAAAGGTGAATGGTGTATCCTTCAAAATAAATTATTTGTTTTGAAAATACATTATGAGAACAGATTTTGCACAGATGCAAAATCCTGAAAGGTTAAGAGAAAAGACTGCTTCAACCTTGGCAATACAGGACTGAAACAAAGACTAAAGGGCAAAATGGAAAATACAAGGATGTAAATTTAATGCTAAATTTAAAATGAATGAAATATTTTTAAAAATATTTCTGTAGGAATTTTATGAACCACAGTTCTGAAAACAGTAGAATATTTGACCACTCAACTGTTGGTGAGACTAAGGAAACCCTCTTTACTGACACAGTTGTTTAGAATAGTATGCTTTTTGTTGTATTATTTTAACACAAATACAACCAAGCAAGAGACAAAGACTACCACACATAGCCACGTGTTTTGATATCAGAAACGTTACAGAACAGTACAGAAGAAATAAGCGTTTTGCTTCATTTCCCTTTCTGCCACCTGCTGGTGCCATTAAGACATCCATACATTTTCAGCATCATCTTTATCCTTAGAGTGTCACAGTGAGTCAGTGCCTCACCTGGCAGGCAGGGAGTGCTAATTAAGACTTCAGTACATCCTGGAAAAGACACCAGTTCATTACATCCCATTAATTCACATCACAAATCCTTTCTCCAGAGGTTTGACTTTTCACATTTTCACTATTGATGAAAATATAAGCATATCATCAGCAATTAATCTAAAACCAGATTGGCCAGATTATGTCCTGTTGTCAGTTGGATCTGTGGCTAGTGTCATCAGGCTTCTGCCATTAGTATGCCCCATACTGGCCCCCTAATACCTCCTCCAGCAGCAACCTTAGGTTTATGAAGTCTATAGTCTATAGTCATTACTGATACAGAAAAGAACTCAAGCATGCCTCAAAAACAAGAACAAATGATTTACAAAACTGTTTCATGCCCAAGAAAGCAACATTTGGAATCATTTTTCATATTGTCGATGTTATATTGCCCAACAAAATATGTGCTAAGATAATAACTTCAGTTTTCTCTATTTGAAAAACAGTTGGTCTCATGGTTTCAATAATGTTGAATAGCCTGGATCAGTTTTATGGGATCTTTATGTTTCCTGTTTGCAGCACCTGAGGTGTCCAAGTGCAGTACATTTCATAATGCTGCAAATTTAAAGCTTTTGCATTCCCTTGAAATTCACTAAAAATCTCTGAAGTCCTCTATTTATGCAAACAAGACCCACAGACTTCTTGGTACTGTATATCCTTATACTCAGGTCCTGTTTCCATTCTAAGTCTTTTTTTCTGAAATAGGACTACAACTACATGTACTTTAAGCTCCAAGACAACAAAATGTTTGGACTTGGTTTTCTAAAAACCAAGGCATCTAGGCATCTAAAAATTCCAGATGCAAAAACAATATTAAAACATTTTTAAAAAGTTTTACTGGTCTTTATGTTGTTCAATAACAACAAGTGAAGTGTCCAGAAAAGCGCTATATAAGTGTAAGCAATTATTATTATTATTATTATTATTAATAAAAACTGTGATAACAGACTCTAGGTGGTTTTCACAGAAATCCATTCATCCATCTATTTTGCTCCCGCTTGTCTTGATGAAGTCTGGAGTAACAGCATGTCAAGTCCAACAGGACCTGAATCGTTTTCCTCCGCAACAGATTCTAACTCCTCCGCAAGAACTGCACCTCCAGTCTTTCCTGTGTTGTCATGAATGTCATTTGTCTCTTCCAAAGAAATACTGTAGGTTAGGCAAATAAGGAGGCAAAATGCAAACAAAGCATGACAAAATGACGGGTTGATTTGCGCAGCAAATTCGCACTTCAGAATTTGAGCTGTGAAGATGCGTACAATCTGAAAATGCACACACCAGTAACGACTTCAATCAACAGCATAAATATTGCTAAAAATGTAAAAGGCAAATGTTTAAGACGCAGCTCCGGCCTGTGTAGCATTACTTACCAATCATGACAATCTGCCCTGGAAGCTACAATCCTCACAAAGTTGCAATCAAATATCTTGATTTTTCTATATACAATACTTACTGTAGGTTTATCTACATCTAGCCAATAATACTTTAAAATTCTCCAACATTGCTATAAAACTAAGTTTTATTCTTATGTTCTTTTAAGCAAAAATGCTTTTGTTGCCAATTTACTGTGTAACAGACAACATAATTTTATGCTGACACAAGGAACAAGTTGAATTCTGTTGAAAAATCAGTTTAATACAAAAATAAATCAGCACTCACAATAGCACATCAGTGCCTGATAATAGTGACCTCTTTTTCTTGTGTTTACGTCATTTATGTTTTAAAGCTCCACAGATTTCTTCCATTCATTCTCAAGGAAGAAGAACACCTCCCCTTGGAGATCAGAAATAGCCATCTACTAATGCAGGTTTACAGAGAACAGACTGCGGTAGTAGATAGCATAGTGCACCTTCCCTGGACACCATACAGATCCTCAGAGAGGTAGCAACCTCAGCCTGTGGCAGAAAGTTCTTTACCTGATTACTGCAGATATATCTCCTTGATTTTACCCAGAGCAGATTGCTCCACTCTATACTCAAATTCAGTGTTAGCATTCTGTTTTTTTTTCTGAAGGCTGTACTGCATATAGTACGGTACCTTCACATGAAGAGTGAAATTAACAAAGAATAACCCCATCATAAATTGCATACATAAAATAATCCAGTTTTCATGGCTTTTATTTAATTACTGATGATTATTTAATTTCCTTTCTAATATATTCCTATTAGAAAAAGTATTGCTAAATTAGAGGAAGGCTCCTCTCCTAAGACCTGAAAAATAAGCCTCAATGATTCTCATTTTCTTTCAAGGCATCAACCTATAGCACCGTAGAAAGCAGCCAGAACATATAAAGATTCAGGAGGTTAGTAAACAGAAGGATCTGACATTCCTCTACAAATCATCCCATTAATTCTCAAGCAACATACTTAGAGAGCATTTCAAGCATTATCTTCTCATGTCTTTAACACAGTTGTTTGTAATGCATTGAAAATATAAAACGTTTACAGTTTTAAAAGAAATGGTCAGTTTTATTTGTTAAAAAAATAAATGTATTTTATGACAAAATCTCCAAAGCCTAAGTTTCTGAGAGCTTAATCTAATCCAAGTACAATAAATATTTCCTTGTGTAATTGTCAGAAAATAAAAAAATGGAAATATGTCATCTTTTCTGCTGATGGTTTACAAATTTCGAAAATATATACAGTATACATAAACCCTGAATTCCTTTCTTAACACTATTTTTAAAAATACAAATGAAAAACGAATCTATTAAAACAGAAATGGAAATTATTTTGCATATACAATATGCACTGGCTCCAGTGGGAATCTGTATATCCAGTGTACTCGTATTATTAAAGCCACTGTCTCTGGAATGTACTTCTAAAATTGTAATTACATAACTAAATGGTGGAAAGTGTTTTGAAGAGCTTATGCAGTTGTGTCTACGATGCACTTTATGAACAGGGTGTCGTCCTTGCTGTAGGCGTGCTTGGGAGACTTCAGCTTGGCGTGGGGAAAGAAAAGAGGGCAGCCACTGGCCACATTCATGTCTCTGACTGGCCTTTGGAAAGAGGTGGAGGAAAGGTCAGGTCGAAAGGCATCAATCACGTGCTCCCTCTGATTCTGATCCAAGAGGAAAAAGGTAACCTGAACAGAAGGAACAGCATCATTCTGTTAGCAGGGAGGAAGGAGGTGGTGACAAGCCACAAGTGCCGAAAGACAACATTTATCAAAAACATCCTTCCCAGGGCTGGTCTGTGGGACCTCCTGTCTTTGATTTGTTGTTGTAATGGAGATTTGGGATAACCGATCCCTTAATTGAAATGTAGATTTTTCTATACACACTTTTGTTTGGTTCCACCTGAGCACTGAGATAACAATTCTAAGAATTCTGAAACCACAAATTGGGTATTGGGTTAATTCCAGTTGTAGCCCGCTAATGTTTAAAGCAATGAGAATAGTTGAAACAGGTGTTATTAACTACAGTAAATAATTCAATTAAAGGGTTCACATAAAATTGAAGGAGCTCAGTACATCCACACCTCTTTTTATTAATGTAATTTGGTCCCAGAAACCCCTTCCTATAGCAAAAATTCAGAAAAGGAAAACGTATTTCCATTATTTCTTCCCAAAAATGTGGGTCACAATTCACATGCTTCGTAGTATCGAATTTTCATAAGAAGAACATTCATAAAAGAGGTGCAGGTGTATGAATGGAAACCATTAAACACAGACTGACCAGGACCTGGAAATCTACAGTATCTAAAAACTGTTCTAGGGAGAATAATGAGCCAGTTACGGAATTACGGAAGTTAGTCTGGCTGGTTTAAGAAACACTGATTCTTTGAAATAAATGTTACTATTGTAAAAACAAAACAAATATACCTACATGGAATGCTAGGATTTTTTTTTTACCAGCATGTAGGTCACAAAATAAGTTACAGTAAGTTTTGCATTGTTACTGGAATCTGGCTGCTAAATTTCCTTTCTTGTCTTTGTTTGATTTCATATTCAGAGAATGACTAAGCTTAGGGAAAATATCATTTGAGACAGAAACTCTCTCTGTAACTGCTGCATTTAATCTTTTTTGTTAGTTTTTCTTGGAAAACCCACTGAAAGCACGGTGGTCAGCTTTCTTCATGTCAAATTATAGTTTGTGACAAACTAGGAATGAGGCTTGTGCTAAACAGTACAATAAATAAAGCTTTACTCCGAGACTTGTTCCACTGAGCAGCCGTGCTTTTTGAAAGCTTGAATGACAGTCAGATTTTTATAGGATTTTTTTTCCCCTGAATTGTCTTTTATTCATGTTGTCTGCCAAGAAATCTTATTATTAACCAGTCTTAGGCCTGATTAGAAACATTGCAGACTCACAAATCTTGTAATGGTCTACTCTGCACCTGCAGCCAAGAAGTTAAGACCAACAAAAGAATTTAATTATTTCTCTGATTGTCATTCAAAATAAAATGATTTTTTGTTTCAGCACTGTTTAGTTCTGCTTTGGAGGAGGGGTCTCACCTTATGCTTGAATGGCCAGGAAAGTAGAGCATCATATTCCCCCTTCATGACCACAAAGAATAAGGAAATGTGTGTCCCTTTTCCCATGCCATCTCCGTTCAGGTAACACCTCATGCACACCTTGTAGCCGTACTTCCCTGTGTAGAAAGCTGAGGAAAGAAGCAGCATGCAGACTACGTTAACAGTGACAGACAACTGCCGGGAACTTTTTTTCTTTTATCTTAAAAAACACCTAGGTATATGGTGTCTGCAGATAGGCTTTAATTGCAAGTCTTATTTTGGAGAGGAGTTGATTAATAGAAGGGTTAGTAAAAACTCTTTAGCAGTATGAGCTGATCTCATTACATCACAGAAGTTAATCCAGTTAGTCCAGTTAGTACTGAGATGAAAGGCCTCTAAACAAGGATTCTACTTTATGTGGACCAGTAGGTGGCAGTATTCCTTTAGGTAAAAGCACCTGTGTGGTGTCATTGGACACTCTGCTGTGCTTCGGAGGAAGTATTTGTTTGACCTAATCTGGCGCAAATTTTGGTAAGGCAAAGAGTACAACATTCATTCTATCTATATACTGTATACTATCTATGTAGGATAATTGCTTTGTCATCAACTTGTGCTTTATTCTATGGTTCACTTTTCCAGTCATAATTATATTAAAATAATCCTTACAGTTCTACAGTATAACACAAATTTTTTCTTGGCATTCTCATCAAAGTGCTTTCCAGGTACTGGGGACTCCCCTCCCTCACCACCAGTGTGCAGCCCTACCTGGATGATGTGACAGCAGACAGAGTGCAATAGCCCCGCACGGTACAGTACAATCACCACACACCAGCTCTCAGTGGGGAGGACAACAGAGTAACAAAGTCCATTCATGGACAGGGATTATTAAGAGGCCATAACTGGTAAAGGCCAGGGGGAAATTTGGCCAGGGCCCCGATGTAACAACCCATTGCTATACTGGGGCATTAGGAACCACATAGAATGCAGGCAGGATGAGCGCCCCCTACTGGCCCCACTAACACCACTTCCAGCAGCAACCTTATCTTTCCCAGGTCTCCCATTTGGGTACTGACCAGGCACACAACTGCTGTGCTTCAGTGGACTAAAACAGTTGACCAACACGAAGAAAGGCTTTAAACAAATAAAGATATATATATTTAAATAAATAAGATGAAAATGTCATTTTACACCCTCCTTTCCCACAACTCCAAAAGAGCTCACTCAGGGCTCACTCCCTGTTCTCTGTCCTTGCCTGTAGGATTGATTAATTCATAAATTAAACAGGAAAAAAGTACAATACATTTTGCACTACAACCATTGTACCTGGAGAATACAGGTTGTTTTCTCTGCCGGCTGCTGCCTCCTGCATTTTTTTGCTAAGGTTAGAGATCTTCCAGATAAATGTCCCATCATGCGAAGCCTCCTCCAGTGCTGAGATACGCAAGTGGAGTGAACTGATGAGAAGATCTTTCACAGCAAGCTTCCCCTGCTGCTCTGCCACCTGAAAAATTACATCCAGCAATTGTGAGGACCAAGGCTGTACCTGTAGCATTCACCAAGCTAAAACAGGAATTATACCAAACCCCATTCTACCCAAGTGACTCCATTTTAAACAATCACACAGTACAGAAACACTGACAGTGATATGCAGCAGAAATACTACCAATTATACTGCATATCACATATGCTACATATACCATATATGCTACCATTTATACTGCATATTTATTTATGACACAAAATGTTAGTAGAAACCAAGGCAAATAAGTTCAACCTCTAAAAATGTATACATATAAATTTATATTCAATTATAATAAGAACATTTCTGCCATAGCACCTTGGTAATATCACTGTTGGATCACTCCAGCTTTAAACATCCCTGTACATTGACAGCCCATGATGCTGGAAAAGTTTCTTACAGAATCTAATCGCATCATAAAGATAATAATTGAATAATATTGTACCAAGCTGCTGAATACACTTTGAAACAGCGTACTATAAAGAAGTAGGTATTAACCCTCGCGAATTTGGCAAAAGGGGGCGAGTACAATAAAAATAATGCTCTAGGGATTTGGTTGACAAACAACAATGAAGCTGTTTCACTCACTTATTCACTAAATTTAATAGAAAGCTTAATAAATCGCTTTCATTGCTTTCTAGACAATGAAAGGGAAAAGAATGATGTTGCTAAATGAGTACTGCACTGAGGTGTTCACCAAGGAAGAAAACAACAAATTGCAGCAGAAAGAAAAAGTTCTTTATTAAACAGTACCAGCACAGAAGAGGCAGAAGTGTTTTGAGTACTAGAAGCACTCAAATGAATAAATCCCCAGGGCCGGATGGTATCATATTGTACACAAGGTACTGTATGAGGATATATTATACATAAGCTATTGACACAATTCTTTTAACATTAACTCAAGATAGTGGAAGTACCCACAGACTGAAGAAGTGCTAATGTAGTGTGCAACCGTAAGGAAAGTGACAACAGTGAATAGCTATTGACCAATAAGTCTGGCTTCTACGTGATGTAAGGTTTTGGCAACAGTTATTAAAACTACTGTAAACAAGAAGATCATTGGTATTGAAATATGATCCAGGGAAATAGTTAACATGGATTAAGAAAAGGGAGTTCATTCCTAAACAACTAACTTGTTAGCATTCTTTGAACAAACAACAGTAATGGATGCACATAAAGCATATGATACTGTGTACTGTATATAGCTTTTCAGAAGGCTTTTGATAAAATTCCTCATAAAAGCTTAAGTCTCACATTACAAGCAGTAGGCATTCAGGGAACTGGGGAAATGTGTGTGTTTGGACTGAGTATACTTAATAGAAAACAGCAAAGACAAGGTTTGAATACTTGGATTTGGGAATGCAATTAGTGGAGTACCACTTGGATCTCTTGCAGTACTAGAGTAACCATGACTCCTGATTTCAATCAGTGATCTACAGATGATTCTGGCATAGTTAGTGAACTAGTCAAGTTTGCAGCAGATACAAAATAGTAGGATTAGCAAAAATACCTACAATCCCAATTATCGACAATCACAACAGTTTTGAAATAGACTACATATACAGTAAACAGAACAACTGAGTCAGGACTTAAGCATAAAGCTGAGGGCATACATTATTTTTGAATGTTTTCAAAAACTGTAAGATGCATTTAGAAGACTCTCAAGAAAACAACAGACATTCTGCACTATAATCCTTCTTCAATTACCTTTTGATGACAAAAACATTACAAAACAGAAACACTATTCTTCAGGTTTTATGCCCGTAGCAATTATTTGCTTTTTGTTCTTTCTTCCTCACAGCTTTAAATGTTAAATTTTGAGACATTTCAGAAAAAAAGAAAATTACAAATAATGTTTGCAAAATGTCAGCAGGCACTGACTTTACTTGCCAGGAGTGTCTACATGCGGCACAGCGGTGACACTTCATTTGCAAAAGAAATGTGAAAATGACTGAAATATTTTGGAAGGCGATGACACAGAGTGCTTCAACTGATAATTTTCATGGTTTGGCTCATCTTATGAGAGCTGTGTGACAAAAAACATATACTGCTGTTTCAGTTATGTACGGTTTATTTTACAGGATTGACTGCAGAGTTAAGGGCTACAAAGTACTAAAGCTTAAAATGTTCACTTTAGTCTGAAGTACAGTAACTGGTGGCACAGTGGTGCAGAGGCTAAAACTACAACCTCACAGTGCTGGGCTCCTGGATTCAGCTCCAGACCTGGGGTGCTGTCTGCGTGGGGTTTGTAGATCTCCCCATGTTCATGCAGGTCTTCTCCAGGTGCTCCACTTATTATTAAAAGATTGTCCCTAGGTGTGAGTGTGTGCATGTCTGTGTCAGTGTGTCCACCCTGCAATGGTCTGGCCAGGGCGTACCCTGCCAGGAAAGACTCGGCTCCCCCGTGCCCCTGACCTGGAAGAAGATGTTGGAAAATGGGTGGATGGTTAGGAAGTAATTCTGTTCAGTGATGAAGATGCTGCTGATCTGTTGTTATAGGACATCCATTTGTCATAAGATTCCTCTTCATTATGTGATAATTTACATTTATTTAAATGACCTAACATTAAAAGCAAGTTATGTTCCTGTAGTTTCCTTTGTGTCATTAGTGTTACAATCTTTTCTAGCTTTACCACAGTACAACATCTTTCCCCTTCAAGCTCTGCTTCACCCTTTCTTCTTTTCCTGCTCAATGATCACTGATCACGTTCACCTTCCTACTGCCAGATATGCCAGACTGCCTGCTGAATGGTACAGCAATCAGACAAATATCAGGGAGCAAAGCAAAGGTACAGTAGATGCACACTGCTGCACAAATGTCTTTGACATTTCACACTATTCTGCTCTTTCACTCAATGCTTTCATTCTTAGTGCGGAAACACAATTTGTAATTTAAGATCCAAGCATTACAAGGATTTGTGGAAATACAAAAATATTGTCATTTCCCTGAACATACAGAGAATATTTTATTAAGTTTAGTATTCTTGACAAAATACTTCAAAAGATGTATTTATTAAATTCAATAAGATTACAATGGTTGCTTTGAGATACACCATTTGACACAAATGCTGGTTTATTCTTTTTTTTAAATATATAATTATGCATCCATGTACTGTATGTAATTACTGTATGTATCTTATGGCTGTGACCTCCGGCCGTACACAAGAGAGAGTGAGGGAGTATAGGCGTGTTTGTCCTCCTTTGAGCCACTCATCTGGTAACAAGAGCCACATGGATTACTGTGTTTTGCCAATAGTCGAGAATATTCTGGTCAGCTATTGCCACCCTACCCTTGGTGGGGCTCAGTCAATCGATTAGAGCTCCTGGTCACAGTCAGAGAGTTAAGACCCAGGCTCGAACCCGTGAGCACAGAGCTTAACCTGTGCTTGGATGAGTACCCTGACAAAGTGAGACACTTGTCGCTACAAGTACTGTTTTGAGGTATATGTACTGTAAAAGTCCCTGTGATACATTGTAAAAGTCATTTCCCTAGTTTGGTCATATTCTAATTACAACGAAACGAGATAATATATATTGATGAATAAGGTACTGTACTTGATATTTTTGTACATTCTATATTTATCTCACCCGGCTGAAGGAATGACAACCCTAGACATAAGGTCGGGTCTGCCAAAACCCCTCTCACTAACCAGGGATAAAGCAGGGAGGCTGCTTAAACTTGTATTTAAAAACTACATTTTGCATTCAAGCCAACAACTGGAAAGAACATTCTGCCCAAAAAAGCCAATGGCAGGTATAGTTTCATGAAGGAAATCATAACACAGAATTTAGAAAAAAAAGGATTACCTTCAGAATTAATTAGATTCTTTGGAGAAGAAGTTATTCCTGGCACACTTCCAGTTTTCCAATTGAATATCATTGTTTTTCCTTTTGCAGGCATAGAGATCTAATCAAGTCCAACTATGCACGAAATTTTCCATTATCTTGTACTTTTGGCAAAAATAATTCTACAAACAATACTTTTTTCTGTGACAATCAGGACTTTACATAACAAATATGTGCCTTTGGATCAAATATAAGAGGAGCCTTCAGTATGCTGAATTTATTAGCTCTTAATTGTAGAAGAACTATGGCATATTTGTGTTTTACCATAACATATTACATCAAACAATTTTATGTGCTCTTCTGGAAACTAGCCCGGTATCCACAGCTGCTTTGCATCATCTGCTGGAGTGACTGCAGAGCCGAAAAGTGGATGTGACCCAGTACTCCATTCTAGTCCATAGAAGAACAGCTGTCTTCCCTTTGCAGAGTGGAACCCAGTGTGCCATCATATAAAGCCAGCAACGAGGTTAGGTCAGACTAAGATGAGAATCAAAGCTTATCACTTAGGAAGATAAACCCCACTGCACTTCTCTGCTGAATTCTGAACTAATCAAGCCAGCAGAAGTGCGATCTGGAATGCACTTTACAGCTGACCATCGGAGATGTGGCAACTGATATTTATTTTGGGTTAACACATGAAACATGCCAGGTAAGATAAGACGTTAGCACAGTCATTTTAAAAGAAAGGATTAATCTGTTCCCGCCATAATCTTAAAAATCTAAGTCCCTAGTTTTTCAGTCGGTGACAGATAATTTGAATTATTTGACTAGCCACAGCTAAAAGCCAAGAACCTCAGGTCATTCAGTGCCACTGGCCTGGATGTTGACACAGGATTGAATCAAATTTAGCCTATTTGTGGGCCATGAAAGAATGCATCAGACCTTGTTGACTGATACTTTGTTAGAAGATGTGTTCATTATAGATAATAAAGATAATTTAGCTGATTGATTACCCCAACGAGGTGAGACTATTCTTATGTGTAAGTCTAGATGGGTGATTATTAGGGACAGTTCATAACAGAGTGTTGTGTTAGGGAAAAGGTTTTGACATTTTAAAATACAAGTAAAGTACCAATTGTAGATATGCAAAGCTACTTAATCAGGTAAAATCTCCTATTTACAGCTGTCTCAAGAGCAATTGAAATAAAAAACATCCCAATTTAAAAGTACTTTCAGGACTCTAGCCTAAACCAGGTTCATATATAGGCTACTAAGCAGTAAGTTGTGAATCCCTACAACTTTGGGATTTGATGTAATCATGTGCATCCTGTTGTATACAATTTATATCTCAAATGCGTGATTTAAACTTCAATATACAGTGCAGACACCAGTGTGCATGATTCCATTACCTGAAGCTCCAGGTTTGCAATGTTGTCCTGGCTGTTTTTGTTTTGATGCTCAAGTGCAAGCACAGCTGCCTGGTTCTTCTCCACCTCTCTGTTCAGGACAGTGACAATATTCTCATAGATGTAGATTTTCTGCTGGAGCTCCGAAAGCTTCTGTTTGAATTCCCCTAGTTGTTCTTTCTGGGCTCCCTGTGAAATGGAGGGCTCTGTGTATCCATCGGTCTCCAAGTCCCCATTCACTTCCACTGCTCCTTGCATCTGCATAGAGGCTAAACTCTCCTCGAGCTCTGTCAGCTTGAACTCCGTGCCTGAAACATGAGCTTTGCCCCCATCCCCTTTGCTGATTGTTGTGAGACAGGAGACTTTTAGGTTGCTAATCACCTGAAGCAAGAGCTGCAAGTGGGCCACAAGACCTGTGCTTTCGTGCTCTTTTACTTTCTCTTTAGTTCCCTGCAACACAAAATTTAAGATGAGGATTGAGTCCTTTGGAAAAGCAGGCCAGAGATCACGAGTCAATGTTTTGTGTTGCTTAAAATGGAAATTCAGTTAAAAGAAAAGTCAGACATAAGTCAAATAATTCTTACGTAAACCTGCAATAGTTATTTTACCCCAATATTACATGGAATATAGGGCATGATATGCAATGGGTAGTTACAGCATATTGCACTAATACATTCCGATCACAGTACAATTTTGTAATCATTGCTTGGCACATGAATCCATGCTATACTTCAAAAGAAAATAATCACTTGTACAATAAAGATGCTGATATTATCACACAGTTTAGTTGAAAATTGTGTACTGTACATCCCATCTGAAAAGGCGATTGGCATTAGTTTACCTTAAAAGTGCAGCCAACCTCAGAAAAACGGCACGGATCTTTGTTCTTTGCACTTGAGAGCTGTCGGTTCTGGAGACAAAGATATTGGTTAAAAGGTGAGAAAGATAAAAATCTTCTAGAGAATGTAAAACCACTCTTCGAATTATTAAAGTAAAGCTGTCATCAAGCGTTCTTCAGTGTATAATAAAAATGAAATTGCTCTCTAAAGCAATCATTAAAAAAAGAATAGAACTATCCTCATACTTACAGAAGTATGCTTACTGGTGATTTTGTACCCATTCCTACAAAATAACAGACACCTCTACCATGCTCTCTACGTTGTCCTATAAAGTAGAAATTACGAACAAAGCTGTAGCAAATACCTTTTCTCTTGTTTCAGTTTTTGATGGTTTTCTCTCTTTTGCAGGACTGCTCTGACAGGTGTGTTTCTGTATACCAAAACAATTATCAGGGAATTTATGCAGATGTTTGAGTAAAATGGGACTTTTGGAAAAAAAAAAAAGAGTAAAAAGATCTGTTTACATCCCATTGCATTGTTTAGGTGTCTATCACTTCCTCAGTTTGGAAGAACTCACCTGAGAACACTGAACTCTCACACAATGGTACTCATCAAATACATATATCTTGAGGTGAAGATATTGCATCATAAACATAATATGTTTTATATAATTCAAAGTGTTTAAACTTAAAACATACTTAACTTTATTTTCTTTTGCATAGCATTTTGTAAGGAAAGATGCAGTATGGAACTACTCTTTATTCACATTACAAACATTTTTTCCTTATGCCACATGTCATTGCTGCTCTTTTACAATAAACCTTTTGTTATTTTTAATCAAAGTTCAAACCACACAGGAAAATATTCATATTCTGACTAATATGTGCATTAGCACACTCTGTCTGGGGGCTTTCCTATTATTAAGTATAAGCAATCTGGGACTGTCCCCTTCTCTTGTTCCCAAATAAAATGTGTTTTTTAAGGATTCAAAAAAAGCATTTCAGCAAAGAACAATTTTGAAATCCTATTCTGTCAAGACTTAAAGTACACATTTAAAAAACGTTTTTTTATTCATATAACTTAATTGGAAAGTATTTATAGATCAATTATTCTTTGCATGTTTTTCACACTCCAGTCCACTGACTAACCAGTTAAGATAAGGAACATTTAATACATGCAAAATTATTAAAATATACATAAAATAGTAATCCACAAGTTGGTGAGGGATTTGTTTTGGGTTGTATTATTTTTAAAAAAACAAATATGAATGGAAACAGTAAATGTCTCCAGTCTTTTTTGAATAGGTTTGAATATTTGAAAACTCAAAATACATTACTTTGTCAATTCTTCATTTGGTTGGAAACTGACATTTTTCAGCTAAAGTTTAATCCTTTATGACACCAATTAAGTTTTGACAACTTGTGATAGTGATGGAGGTGGAAAAAATTGTTTTGAATTAAATTGAGATAGACATCAGCTTGATATTAAATGGCATGAGTATGATGATATATGACCAAAAAAAATCACTTTCAAAAAGGCTTGAGAGAGGGAAAAAAAACATTTTTATGCTGTGGAGGCATTAAACAACCATGTGATTCATTACACATTTTGAATCGTGATCAGAATAATTGCATGAAGGCGTCATGGTACAGGTTTACACTCATGTCTTTAGTTCTGCTGGCCGCAATTTAGGATGGACTCGAATGTGTCTTACCTGGAACTCTGCTTGACTCATTTTATGTGAGCATGTCTGACACACCAACATGTTTTTAGCACATCCTTTCTCCAAATGGCTTGCAAGGTTCTTTCTAATAACCATGTGCCCACAGCCGATGTTGCAGGGGATTAATGCATAATCGCACTGACTTTGGTGATCCTGAAAAAATAAACACAAGTTGCGTAACAAATCTAGGTATGATACCCAAGGCAGAGTTTGTTGAATATGCTTTTCCCATGCATCTGGGAGAAAGTCATAGTTATGCATTCCTGGGGCCACATGAATTAACCAAAGTAAAAAAAAACAAGCTAATGGATAAAAGCTTTAAAGCTTTTGGGAGATTAAGCAGTATTCTAAAGGGGACAACTATCTCTGTGTGCAACAGAAAAGCGTTTGACTAATGTGTGCAGCAGCACGGGCACGATACGATCACAACCCCGAATCTGAAAACGATATTAACTCTCAGCATGCTCCAGGAAAGCACTCAATGAAGTGTGCCAGGAATGAACAAATCAAGACAGAAAAAGAATCGAATGGGACTGGAGCTTGGTACAAAAGTAACTTAATGCAATAACAATTGAAGTGTCGTTATAATATTTCAATTCAGCAAGCAAAGCAAGCATATTCTCAAATGTACCTCATAATTCTTCAGTGTGCTCCTCCAGTTACAGCCTTGGTTAGCACAATGGACCTTCAACTCAGAAATTTCTTTGTTGATAGCAGCATCGTTGAAGAACTAAAAGTGAGAAGTCCACATACAGCATTAGAAATAAAAGTATAGTGCTATGAGACAAACACTGGAAGTCCAGCCTGTTTCTAGTCCCACCTACTGTATGCCAAACAATTTTCCAGGAAATGTAGCTGGCAAACATAATACAGCCATTTGATGATATCAAAAAAGTAATGTGATACCTGAAGTATCTATTTATACTTAATTCACAGTCCTAAAACTAAGTAAAAGATGATGAGAGATACAAAAATGAACATGCAACAGATTAGTATAGCTGTTGTTATTTAAAACATAGATTTAAATTTAAATTTCTCACTACACTAGAAATAATGGTTCAACAGGTTTAATTTAATTGATGCCTAATGCGTTCACACAATATGGCCAGAACAAACCTAACAACAAAATCCATGACGAGTAAAAAAAGAAAAGACCATCAGGATCATTAAACCTGTAGAAATGTTACAAATACAATAATTTTATTTTTTTGGGTTGTATCTTGTTTTACCAGGAAGTTTTTTGTACTAAAAATCAGACAAACATAGACTACCCAGTGTTGTACTTCAGCTCACATACAGTGTGCCATACTGATACAGCACAATGTTACGCATGGCTGTGGAAGAACAGTTAGGGGAGAGAGGCCGGTTTTCACTACAGTTGAGCAGGAAGTGACTTAACTGGACCATTTAGTTTTGTTAATTACGATAAGAAATTTCCTTTCTTTATTTGGAATTGAAATTTCCCTGACAATCCTTCAGATGCCCACATTTCTTAGGCCATGCTTTTATTTAAATGCTATACGCCCATGGACTACAGACTGACTGCTCTTGTTATGGACTGTACTGTGCGCATCATCTGCTAATTACTTGCTAACTGTATATTCTGTACTACATACCTAGGCTCGCTCCATACATACCTCAACGAACAGCAGCACCTTGTTTGTGGGGGGTCTGGAATCAGAAATGTGTGGAAGCCAGTTCCCTGGCTTCTTTCAAGAGACAAAATGTGGTGTTTTTCCTTTTCATTTTGCAAAATTAAATCAACCTTTATTTGTGTCTTCTATCACAAAAATGGCAGCAAGCAAACATGTTAGATTGGCAAAATTCTTATGCCCTTAAGTCTTAAGAAATTCCTGAAAGCTGAATGCCAGGAAGCATGTGGGAGGAATCAATTTCACATGACTGGAATGTCCACTGAAGGATACCCAGTGTAACCCTGAAATATGTCCCCGGTGCACTTCCTTTTTTTCATTTTGGAGAAGCCTTTTCTGAGATTTTCTTTATGTTATCTCTAAGTGACATTTCGCGCTTCTCGTTGTTCAAAACCTTGCAGTCAGTTTTGACAACTTTATTCAGAAACTTTAAAAAAAATGACAGTAATTAAAAAAAATAATTTTTGAATTTTTGCAATTTATTGTCATTTGGATTTGAGTGATTTTTTTAACCAGCATGACTCAGCACCAAAACCACTGTGCCAACACAAACGCAAATCATGCATTTGCCCAAAAAACACATTGACAACATACTGTAACTAACACATCAGATTGACAACTAATGCAGCTCTGCCTTATAATATATCAATCTTACAGGGACCCAGTTAACAACAGGAATCTGCACTTGTGTATTGCAGTGCAAGTGAAACCTGGCCAACAAATCTCAACATTCATGATTGCAGTCAGCGATTGACATATCCTAGATTCTGGCCGTTATTCTCTAGACTATTAGGCACAATCAAAAATCAAAGTATGAACTTCACCAGTTGTGCCATTCCAAGACTTTAATAGAAATAATTCATTGATTGCAGACCACAATTAAATGACAAAAACAGCAGAGAACTACAGTACCATGAACATCCAAAAGGAAGAAGTTATTATGACAGTTAAGTGCACGTTATGTTCCCTTTTCATTTTACTAAAACTACTTCAGATCTATTCAACTGTATTCTGCAAAAGAATTCCAAAAGAAAACATTAAACTTTGGCAAACTGCATGTGCAGATCCAAACTCATTCTAAGACCTCAGTTGTATTTCTATACACACAACACATTTCATAATTTACCTTTTACCTTTTAGTGGTTCAGTTTTTGTACCATCGAAAAAACTATTTAATGCCAGTTCTTTGTCTTCTTTTTTCAGAAGCATCCTCTTTACAAAATCACAAATACCCAAATCAACAAGTAACAAAAGAAGCCCAGCCAAAATAACAGCTGTCAAGTAAAAGCATTGTTAACTTTTCATCTCACTGCAACAGAAAATATCAGATCTTCTGTAATGCTTTTAACTGGGGCTCATGATGTGACAATATTATTATATATCTTGAAATTTTATTTCATGTTTTTAACATCAGAGGTAAACTACTGATACAATTATATTATACTGACTGGAGTCACCACTCTTATTACATTCTCGAGGCCTATACTGTATGCATTATTCATATAAACAAAATAAATATTAGCACGCGCCACTGGATGTGTTTTCAGTAGCTTATTCTTAAAAGCGATGCTCTATTTTTGTTATAGGTCACCACAGGATTCTCTACTCATTTGACACTATGTTTGTTCTTTGTACTAAGACTTTCTCAGAAACTTACAACTGGCATTACATTTAACAATGCAATGGCTAGAACTGAAACAAAAAACATTTACTTTAGCTCTGGTTCTTTATCCTCATGCAAATTATTCAATATTACCGATCATTACTTTCTATTTTATAATATATTACCCTTCCATCGTACCTGTGTTGGTTTATAACTTAGCATTCTAAAGGGCTTTGGGGTGGTGGTCAATAAAACAATAAAACCATTATAAAATAAGAAATCAATCTGCTGAATCTAGCCAACTAATTAGTTAATTGAAGTATTGTAATCTTACCTAATTAGCAACAATCAAATCAAATTTTAAGGCCCATCAGGCCTGATTTCTTATTGCTGGGTAATAATACGGTAGCAAGCCGGTACTAATGTATAGAACTTGGTGAACTGGAGCTGTCATATTGAGGTGCTTTGTTCAAGGATACAAGTGGTGTCCACAGTGAGGACACAAATCCATAGTTGTCCAATATGTGTCCAGAATCCTACCCACCACTCAGTTCTGACACCTGCAACTTGTTAAATCATATTATCCTACAGTACATTTTATTTTATTCTAGATGCGATACTGCATTTTCAACACTGTCACAGATGGCTACAAACTGCCACAAAATATGCTGTTGGCCTCAACAACCAGAGCTTTGAAATCCTAGGACTGTCTCCTGAAAGACTTAGACAATGGCTGTGGCCTGGGGTGGGAGTTCCTGTAATAGTAATCACTGAAGTTCAGGAATCCAGCTGTACACTGAGAACCACATGGATTAATATCCCATTTTCTAATGAGTTCTTGTTCACATTTCCCAGAAATGAAATGGCTTCCTGCCAATTTTGTGGCCTTTGGGATTAGAAATCTTGGCTTGAATGTTGTCCAACACGTGTGTGGCTCACCATTTTCACCTTTCATTTATCTGTGTTATGAAAGGTTTTAACTCATAATTCACAACTAAACTGTTATCTATGCTTCTACACGATTCAGTGCTCTTCCCATGAATTAATCAACGAGATAACCCTTAGTATAGGATGGCAAAACATCTACCTATGCATTTTTTTCCATATCATTGCCTTGATAGTTTAACATTTTTTATAGTTCCTGTGAAACCTGGGCAGTTTACAACTGGAGAACAAAGGGGGGAATTTTCTCAAAAAGAGAGGAAAATTCCAAAACCTGTCCTTGAGCCCAGCACTTTTCTGTTATTAATCAAATTACAGGGTCCATCTTGATGGATTAATACACAAGTTTCAGCTGTAATTACAACGTTTTTCAATATGCAGCGAAAAAAATGGTATAAAAAGCTGCTTTTGTAATCAGATCACAAAAATATCCGATACAAACAATACAAAACCAAGGTAACTTAAATTTTGCTGTCTACTAGTAGGATGAACTGAAGTTGTGAAACCCCAAGTTTAATTCACGAGAATCACATGAAATACAGTACCCACACGTTCTGGTATCAGAATGCTGTTCTCATTGTCTAAGTTGGGATCTTCTTCTTTGCACTTCTTACACACCAGATTCATATTGTTCCTGGAAAACAAAAATCAGAATGAAGGATTTATTCATTGATATTACAAGTTAAATTCAGGCATGTCCTTGTTCTGCTTAATAGGTCCTCATATGCCAAATGACCTGAGGAAATAGCAATCAAAAGGCTATTTTTTAAATCGGTCAAGAACACAAACGAGAGAAAAAAATATTACATATTGGTTTATAACTAGATGTATTATTTAGTTTATGAATAGGTCAAATAATGATCACATGAAACTGCTTTTTTAAACTTGGGGCGCCTCTCTAAGCTACAGGACACTCTGCTTTCAGAAGGCTACTTAGCGTTAAACAGCAAACTACTTCAAACCTCCAAACCATAAATGAAGTCTAAGAATCACCAGTCCAGTTTTTAAGGTATAAAAACAGCTTTTGACAGCTACTGCCTTACTGCCTGAGACAAAGCTTAAACTGAAGCTTAGGTGAGCAACATAAATTAGATAATATGATTAATAAAGAGATGCATTGCCTTGGGAAGGGGGACACCACAATTGTGTAACAGATTCCCTACAAATGGAAAGCAGGCAACGTTATGCAATGAACGTTTCAGCAAAGAAAGAGTTTGCTCACCTCATCAGCCAGTTGACACAGGCTAAGCAGTAACGATGGCCACACAGTGTTTGTCTGGCTTTATTCAGCAGATTATTACAGTTGCTGCACAAGTACTTCTCCTGTGGCACATCATCACAAATATTTTGTGGAAAACCAGAAGGGTACTCGCTTTCTCCTGGTGCAGATGAGAGGCCATTATACAAGTCCCCCGTCGACTTGCCAGCCATTTAAAGTATATTCCACTGTGACAGCAAAGAGAGTAAAAGTAAACTTCACTTACAGGTATCGCAAATTGACAATCTACTAGTCTTCTAGGCTCTCTCTGCTTTCTATGAAAATAGAGGAGAAAGATACAGAGGTTTTCTGTATGGCATTTTGATTCCTTGATATTGCACAGAACCCACCTACCAGCAGAAAAAGTCAATCGCGGAACTAATCTATCAACCCCCCCTCCTTTAAAGTTTAAAATATAAAAAACTACCACGGATTTTCCCTTTTCGAACACGGAAATATTGAAATCCCCTAACGGATCAATAGCGAATACATCGTAGATAGTGTAGCTTTTAGAGATACAGAACTCTTATTTTAATAACACCGGAAGACTACGTTAGGTGTGAGGCTACAAAATAACATAACTAATTATTTCACTACGTCACAGAAGCCATGGTACCCTATGACAGCTTCTACAAGCGTGATATATGTACTGTTAATTCTCTGTTTCAGCAGGCCCGTATATTTTGTTTTCCTTCTGAGAACGAGAATGCAAAAGTTATTGACAGAGCACTTGAAAACCCCTAAAGAGCGACGAAGCGTTGCGCCGCTGTGGCGACTCTTAAAACTTAACTTTTATTTTGCACTGAACGCTTTGGTTTCAGAAGTTAAACTGAGACAAAAATAATGGAAAACCGAATAACGCCACCGAGCTGCTATGCAGACATACAGTTAGTGCACTGCAGTGTTTCAACGTCAGTGAGGTGGAAGGTAATTTAACACGTTTTTTTTTTAATCACCACTCTTGACAATATGTCACTATAACCCGCAGAAAAGCACCGTGGTATTTCTAGTAGTTCTGGGGAGTTTCTACGTTATTTTCCACTACACGTTGCATTTTACCGTTAAATGCGGAAGCCTGGAAAGTCCCTTTTGTATAAAGTTCCCGAATGAGGTCACCTTGCACTTCACACAACTCGCAGCAGCGCGAATCAAGCCGCACCGGCTGACGGCACGCCCTTTCCTCCAGTCCTACACCGGAGACAGAATCACGCCGCTCGCCGCACCAGTGGTTCAGGGCTTTGCGGCAAAAAAGTGACGTCGCCAAGTAACAAGAAATCGAAACTTGGAAAAAAAGTGGAATCAATTTCTAAAAACATATATATATATAAAAAGCTGCGACAAAGCTTCATGTGGCATGCATTTTGTTTAAAATATAATCTTCACGCTCAGGTTAAGACACGAAAGGCAGAATGTCGGAATAAGGCTTCCCTTTGCCCAAAATGAAATGATGAAATTTAGTGTCCTAAGCGCGTTTAAAACGGGAAGATGACCGCTGGAGAGACGATTGCTGCAGCACACACTCCGGGCTATTGGGGTTGACACTTGCGATAAAAACATAAAAACGCAAAATTAGCGTAATGATCGGTTTGATTACGTTACATGCAGAAATCTTTGAAAGACTGGAATGAATCCCATGTTTCACATATTTTATTATAATTTTGATTACATTTTCAAACCAATATAAAGCTATACAGTATAAGCTGTTGACCTCACCATTACAGTGCTAAATATAAGCGTGTACTGTAGCAGCGGTTCATATCAAGCAGCTATTAAACACAGGTAAATGATTAAATAGATTGCAGTACCTTCTTTGACTTTTGTCAGATTTTTTTCGGTTTCCCCGTGTTTCAGCCCTTTCTCATTTCCTAAACTATAACACACTAAGCAAGTGTCTGGTAAAGACAGAAGACGCAAAGTTACTGGCCTTTTTAACATGACCCCGTATAAGAAGACTGTGTAGGGGGACTTGCTACAGTACATTTCCCCACTGGGAAAATTCTGTTGAGTCACTTAATAGTGAAAAACAAAAATGACAGACGACAAGGGATGGTCATGAAATGATTATGAAACAAAAGGTTACGTCACTCAATCGTGCTAAGCAGCGCTGTGCTTAACACCCTGAAGTGTCCTGTCTGAGAAGTGATGCAGAAGAAGTCATAGTGGTTTGTGTTCTGTATTTTGAGATTCCCAAAGAAAACCAACACAACTTTAAAACAGTGCAAGTTAAAGAGAGGGTCATCTTCATATGTATGATGTGAAATCAAACACTTTGTCTGTTTTCTGAGAACAGCTGTGCAGCAGGGCAGGATGTTTGTTCGGTTCACAACCTGTCCTAGTTAATGCCTTGGTTTCTCACAAAGGTTCATTTTCCCAGGTTTTGAAACGGGGTAGAATTGCGCGAGCAGTCCATCTGATTCCAATTCAGCTATACTGTAGGACACAACAAAACCTTGGATTCTCTCTTCTGGAAAGTGGTCTAAATTTCAATCTTTGCGAACAGTGTGTTGTCATGCACAAGTTCTGCACGCCTCCTGTAGAGCTCCTCCAAAGACATGAAACAGGACAACCCAAAAGGCACATTCCCAATCTCGCATGGCTTCTTCAGTGCTTGGACCAATGAGCTGTTTGGAGCCAGGTGATATACCACTGAGTCCTCTTTGTTACCTTGATTTATGATGGAGATTTTAACCTGCATTGAAAACAGACACAGGTGACAAACTATTGATTGCCTGGTTAAATAAAATCCATTCTACCCTGATTATTCTGCTCAGAAAAAGAAGTGTTTTTTTTTTTTTAAAGATAACCCTATTTTGTGATGCTCCAGTCCTCCAGGGTTACAAAGATCATTTGTTTTTCATTCTATCTTTGGCCTTAATTGCTGAAGTAATTACTATTATTAGTAAGAAGTTAAATCACCTACTTTTTGTAGATGTAAATTGGTTGATGAAAAGTCCTAGCCCTGAAGCACTGGAGTATACTGTACATCTTCTAGTAAATGTTCAGTTGCTAATCAGTACAATATGTTGTAGTGAATTCAGTGATTTAGGATATTGGTACAGGTGCTAATGGTATTTTCTGTCTATCTAATGGTTTCTGTTTGAAAACTCTTCTAGTTGATGACTTCTTTCACTTTTGGTTGTACCTGTCCATCCTATCCATTTTAGGACATCAGACTACAGCACAAACTATACTTTAAGTATTGATTTTCATAAAGTTTTGCAAGACAGTGCTGCAGGACAAGTTGCATGACTGGTTATTGTGTAAAACCAGATTAAAAGGTTAATTTAATTTAGTGATAATCTGAGATTTCATGTGGTCATCTTTTATGAATACATGCCTACATACTTAGCAAGTACAGTCTGCCTTCTTTCCTTGATAAAACCCAGATTTAGAGGAGAACTATCTCGGAGTGAAATTTTCCTCTAAGTTTTTCAGATGACCCTATGGGCAATCTCTCTTGATTGTTGAGGGTCTCTAGAACTGAAACTGAAAGTCACTGTTTTTTGTTCTCGAGTGGATTTCAAAGTTTCATGATGTCAGATTGGATAACTTTAGAATCCCCTGCACAGAGAGAGTAAAGTCAAATCTTATTTTTACACTAGTGTGAGCCGGAGGCTCACTATGACATGTTTTGCAACTTCAGAAGTGATTTCCCAGCAACTGGATTAATTATTTCACGGTATGCAATGTGTGTCTTTTCAATTTTCTATCTAACTACTGTTAATTTATTTCTTATTGTTCTTTTACATGGTTTCTTCTCTAATTTAACACATACATACAAGTGTAATTAGGATATGTGGAAAGAAAAAAGGAAATTCAGTATTAATATACTTCAGTGTGTGTGTTTTAACTTTTACAATAAATTAAAAGATTAAAGTGTTCTCAGATGTTAATTTCCATGGTATTACCAATTAAGAAGATGCTAAATTTGAAAAAAAGCAATCTATAATTAGTAACGTAGGAATATGATTGAAAGTAGAGTGGGTGGTTTTTATTTTTTTCCTTTCATATTGTTACGGAACTGCTTCAGAAGAAGTGCACAATATTGCCATTAAAATAATGAAAATTGAGACAAAAAATAAAAATTAGTAACTTGAAAACCGAGAAAATAGAGGATTTCACTATTCTCTGATGTTCTGTAACCCTTACGTAATAGATACAGTATTGTACTAGAGAGTATACAATCATGAATCAATAAAATCATATCAATAGGTATTTTCTGTTTTTTTAACATTGTGTTTCATTAGGGCAAGCTTACCATTTCTGAAAAAGGCCACTGTAACAGACTGTCAAAATCCCCTTTGAGGATCATTAAATACAGGGAAAGGTGAGTTCCTTTTCCCTGTTCATTACCATTGAGATAAAGGCGAGCTTTCAGTCTGTATCCATAAGTGTTTGTGTAGAAATCTGCAAAATAAATGCATGAAAGGAAATGGAACACTTAATCAGTAAAATCCCAGTTTTCAAACAAGTGGTCTTTAATGACAAGAAGAAAATGTTAAATTAATAGAATCTAAAATTTAGACTTTAGATTTGAAAATGAATGCAATGTACACTGTAACTCCTTGACAGAAATGCACATTGAAAGTTAATTGTGTAATCATAGAAACAGAAATTTCAATAGAGCAATGTGGGAAATGATGAAAATTGAAATTGTTGATTATTCAGTCAGTCATCTGCATTAACAATGACTATGATCTATTATCTGTAAACTACCGTCCAAGTATGATAAAATATGATCTACAACATACACTTTTTTGTTTACAAAATGTTTACAAAAAATAATTTTAAGAATTCAGATTCAGAAGTGTGTAAATGTTAAAGTGCAACTTCTCAGACCTAGTACAGGAACTTAAATCTGTATTATACTATTATTGAGGCATCAGCAAGACTTTCAGCTGAATAAGACCTTGATAAATATTTAAAATGTATCAGTTTTGCTCAAAAGTAGGCCTAATGATTCCATTAGCTGAATGACAATCAGAATGGATATATGTGAAACATGTTGCTTTGACCTTACCATCAGAATCCAAACAAGGTCTTGTGCCATCTTTGGCTTCCTGTATTCTGCGGTGAAACAGTGGAATTCTCCAGATAAACACACCCTTGTGGGCCACCTCCTTTGGAAAGTTTCTGACTGACAAACAGAGATTTAAGCCTTGCTCAACCTGTCTCACCTATAATACATAAATTGAAAAATATGATTATACACTACTTTATTGGATGAAAAAATGTGTAATTTATTTAATTACAAATATAAATAGCCGAAATTCTACTGAGCAATAGTGTTTTCTTCAAAGTTTAAAGAATACATTTTTACCCAAGTGAACAATAATTAAGTTTTTGTTGATGTGACTGACTTCAGACAAGGGATGTTGATAAATTTGAAACATTTTCTTTAGATTTTAGGAATAATGCACAGAGTTGTAAATTGTATATTTAAATTACTTTAGTGACTTAAATTATATTGCTAAAAATGAAGGATGTCGATAAATGTTTCAAGGGCCATTTGGCCACAAGAGGTTCACTAGAGAACCATCATGCTCCATTGAGTATACTAAGCAAGGATCCATCAATAGCACTAATCAGATGTCAGACTGCAAAAATCATTGTCCAGAAGTGCAATTTACTAAATTGTTTTCCTGGGACCATGACAATGTGAAAACTCACACCAACCTGTTTTTTGCAACGCAATGCTTTAAAATGCCATCTACTGAGTAATCCTTAACATGCTGTACGTGAAGAGATACTGTAAACGTTCCCACAAAAACATGCAGTGCTGTCTGCATGCTCAATGTGCTTGAAGTGTGCAGTATACTAAGCGAACGATGACCAGATTGTTATCAACTGACCTTATCCTGCAGCGCTGTTAACAGCTGCTTGTTGGAATCAAACTGTCTTGCACTCCTCTCCACCAGCGCTTGACACTTCTCAATAGCCATGGAAGTCAAAGCCAACTCATTCTCTAAAGCAAGTGCTTGTTTATCCAGGTCTGGAAGGCGAATCTGTAAAGAGTGCACGGCCAGACTCAGTTCTTGCATCTCCTCAGTCACCTCTGTACAGTGGAGCCTGTCTTGTAGTCTTCTAATCTGGGGGCGAAGAGCTTCGGCTCCAGCCTCTATTCTTCCCCAATCACCCAGAATGGTGCCTTGCCTCTCCAGCCTGACAACATCGTCCAGCAGGAGCCCGACATGACAGGAGAAGGCCGAGGCCTCGTGGCTCTTCATTTTCGATCTTCCTCCCTGCAGGGTGAGGCAACGAACAGCAAAGGGAAGAGGGCGAAAACTGAGATACAGATACAGCAAAAGATGTCATTCAGACCCTGTGGGTTTCCGTGCAATAAAAGCTCATATTGGTTTTTTAATTGTTCTTGGTAAATATTAAAATCCATGTTCCAATGGGGGTATATCTACTGTATATAAAAATGATAGGAGTCATCTCTGGCTTTCAAACCACAAAAAGTAATTGACTTCCAGACTAAATGAGTGTCTGTTTCTAGACGAAAACTGTGTAACCATTGGTTAATGTTTTTAAAAGACTTTATCCTGCTATACAGTATAATTGTATCAGGCAACATAAACCCTTGCCATTGATGAAAGGAGACCATTACCTATAGAGCGATGCAAAGATATTAATGAATCTAGAAATTATGATAAAGAAGAACAAATAATGATATTCCCTTCAGGATCTCTGTACATCAATCATCCACATTTCTGAATGTTTATATGTGGATGTGTTAACACAACTAGCCATATTTTGTCCAGAATATACCATGAAAACAGGTATGCGATTGGAAAAAAACTATTTTTAAAAAGATGAAATTTAAATGTGTCACCTATATGTAACTAGGTTTATCTTTTTTTAGATAAGAAATGTTGCACTACATTGCACTACATGGAAAGTTAAACTGTATATTTATGTATTTAATATACTGTACAACGGCACATATCATATACTGTGTAAGGCCAAAGTGGTTCTTTAGTGGTTTATACAAGCAGTCACTCAACAGAAATTGTAAACTATGCAGCAAATACACTAAAGGTCTTTTGGGAATGTACTGTAGCTTAATTCTCTTCCAATGTGCACTTTCACTTAAGAATGATGTTTATTTAAGCCCTGACATTACCCCTGATTGCATTTGCATGTGGTGAAGTAAAATGTTTTGACAAAATGAGAGATAAATACGTATTGCCTTTGACAATGTGTTAGAAAGTCTCTTTCCATGTCCTTTCAATCAGGATGAAATTATAATGAGCCTGACAAATCACCAGCAATTGCACCCTTTTCAGAATAGGTACACAGCAGTCTGGAGAAGGTAACGTAATTAACTGAGAGATAAATATAATAGGCTGAGGTGTAATATTTCAAACATGAGACACATTGAAAGGAGTTCTGACTTCATCCAGTGAGCCTCAAAAATAAAGTATTTTTATGCCTTATACAATAAAAATAAAACCTCATCTGGCTTGTTCTATCTACTTCAAGAATGGTTATGTCTGAGTCAGGAATCTATATTTCCTATTTGAGATTATACAGTGACATTGAATTATGCTTTAAACAAGCCATAAATTCTTAAATTTCATTTATCAATTTGCTAATGATTAGCAATCCAGAGACGTCCAAGAGTGACCTACAGTACCTTGAATTTACAGCCCAGTTTTTGAAATGGGCAACACCTCTTCTTCCCACTTTTGTCTTCATCGTCATTAACCTGGAAAAACAATCCCACTCCCTTTTAATAGCACTTCTGTCAGAGAGACAGCAAAATATACAGGTGAGTCAAACAGCAATTCCAGTCATTGGGACGTACAGTGCTAAACGTTTTGTAGGTGCTGCATGTCTTGTGAAAAAAGGCAGAAGACTCAAGAGTGCACACTTCTGCACTTCTGAGCAACAGATTCCTTCTGTACTGAAATGAAGGTCATACAGGTAAGTAAGCAATACTGATTTGACATTTGACAATTCCAAATCTGGGGATATACAGTAAAAGGGAAAATAAGATTTGGGCATCTGGTGAAGAGGAGTTATGAAGTAATGGTAATTTCATAAAAGCTCTTTGTTTTTCCCTTAGTAAATGACAAGAATGTCCTTCATCATTAATATATTTTTCATATCTTACCTACATCATTTGTACAACCATAAATATTAAAGTTTATCCATAAAATATATACAGTACCTAACTCACTGATCTGCATGTGTTTACACTGTGATTTATACTGTTCTAATTTTTAGCCATGAGACACAAACCTTTGTTTTATTCTACATATTCCATGAGTTTTTTGCAGCTGAAATAAACATGTTCACAGTGTTTATATCTTCTGTTCAGTACTTACCTTGGTGTTCATTGGAGTATGGTCATAAGAAAAGGAATCCTGATGTTCTTGCATAGCTTGTATGAAACGCTGAGTCTGTCAATTATAAAGGAGGCTTAAACATTGATTATCTGAACTTCACTATACATTCCCATGTGTTGCAGACACTATGTTACCTAAAGTAACATGTAAGAGACATAGAGTAACATAGAATACATATATATTCAATATGTACAGGTCCTCAATTCCAAAGCTGAGCTGTGCCGTGTTACTTAGTGGAAAGCATTTCAACTATTTATTTTAAGGGTACCATAACCTGTATAATTTCTGTCCTCAACAATAAACACCAATTTGATTGCTTGATCAGAAAGGACCTGTATTCATTTATCAAAGAAGAGCTACCTGTATTCTATTTTTCACATACAATATATTATTTGGTATCTGATTTTGCCAGCAGAAAATGACGGTAAGACATGATAAAAATCACAAACAAGGCAAGTTCGAGATTAGACTATAGGATGTAACAGAATCATGTAGTTCTATCTGGTAGTGCATTTTGGCCTTCTTGGCTAAGAACTTTTTCATGTGTCATATAATGTGATGTAAAGGTGGAACTGAATGGTTTCTATTTCCATTGTGGGCAAGCTTCCCACTACATGGTAAGTAAATTAGAGAGGGAGTTAACTCTCAGGCAAAATCAGGCAATGTGCATTTTAAAACTCATACCCAATTATAATTTTTGGAAATTTGATGGGCATAATTTTTCAAATGTGTACAATCTACAAATTTGGTAACTTGTTTAGGTGAAAAAGCACTATTTTGTACAAACTAATACTTCTTGAAACCAACTTTTAACTTTTAGTTAGTTTAACTTTTAAAGTTTAGTTAAGTTAAAACCAACATATTGTACAGTATCAGATTTCAATATACTGTACTCCTGCAGTTATTAGAATGAGGTAAACACATTGTGAGTCCAATTTCTTCTTTTCCTATGCACAGCATAGCAATGCACCATACCAAACTATTTATTTTATAAAAAATGTACTGTACCTTTGCTTTTCTCCTTTGCCTTTACCTGTCAAATTTAGTCGATGAGGAAGACAGATCTTGTGGTTATTGAACTGTTTTGCAGTGATACACCAATAATTCATAATGTAAAGGTTCCCAATGCACATAGAATAGAAATAGACTGCAGACCAGGACTAGTGAACCGAGTTTAATTGTATAGGTATTGTACTCTGTGTTGGAAGAAAAGCAGACACTATCAAAATATAATCGTTTGTCTGTGATTTCTTCAGTTAGGTTGAAATACTGTATGTATCTGCTAATTAAATAAAAGACACTGACTAAAAACAGTTGTCTAGACTTTATACTATAAAGAGAAGATAAAGAAAACATAAGTAACAAATTTAGAGCCTGCTTTAGCATTTTAGATGATTCAGTGTGTAATTTAATATGACTTCTTTTGAGAATTTTCAGCTCATGCATTTCACATTATCCTGGAGGTTCAGAAATATGTGGGCCTTGGTATTTTGCCATGACATTCTAAGTCTAAAAGAAGACCGCAGCCCAAGGTTAGAAATCTTCAAAACAGTTTAACTTTCATTCTGCCCTACATCTTCAAAATCATTATTCAAAGGTTAAAATGTGCTTAACACAAAGGAAAATGCATGAACAAATTCATTACATTCTCATTAATTACCAGCGGTAACATATTAAAAGCTGTAGCCTTACATAATAAATAAAGGATGAACTACATAAAAGTCTAAATCTGCCATACTGTTATACTGTACATTCAGAACAAAATAATATTTTAATTTTGTATTCATGTCTTATTATGGCATTTTTAGGCAACTTAGCATTTATAGTCTCAGCTAAAAATAATGATGAAAATTACCCTTTGAAAAATTCTTTGAGGTGCTATAGTACATCTTTAGGCAATGCATAGCAACTCCGGTGATTCTAGAGATTTTGTTTTTTCAGTCAGGCAAAGGGTTTTTGTTGTAATAAATTGAATCAAAATAACCTTTTAACTTCCTCATACTGTTATAAGAAAACAAAAGCTGCACCTGACTTGCCAGAGAAATTTTATTTTTATCTAATTATCCAATTCTACTGATTAGGATAATAAGAATGCAAAATCCTTTATACTGAGAACTGCTAGGCACACATGCCAAAATGATCCTATTAACTGTTATTAACTGCTCTGCTGTCTCACAGTAGTGTTCAGAATAGGTAACAGTCAATGTTTTTCTTTTTTCCCCCCTAAAGGAGACTATAGAGCTTCTGTTCACTCCACACAGCCATAAAATCTTTAGTTATCAGCTGCAGGCAGTGCTAAGGAAGTAGATAGGTTGTGGTAGAACAAGTGACAGATAAAGTGATGCCGAGATTCCCAACCCTTTGGCGGCACTAATACGGACAAGGCAATATAGAGGTGTTTCTGAACTCCTCAGTGCATGTTAAAAATGCAGGCGTTTATCAGAGAAAAAGGAGTACACATAAGGGCAAATTTCATATGCAAATATCTCCCCATTTCTATAAATAATGACGGCCAACAACCAGTTTCAGTGCAGCTTGCTTTGCACATCTCTTAGACCTTGCTGTGTCTGGAAGGAAGCCAACACTATTTCCAAAGGTAAATTGCTTTTCAAGCATTCTCTGATATCCGCCTTAGCACAATCTGGTAAATTCCTATTCAAACGGCTCAGATGTCTGTTGCAGTTGTTTTTTTTACTAGATGAGGTGACTCTAAGCTGCTTGTTCAAAAAGAGCTGTGTGTATAGCACATGACACTGCATCCAAAACATCTATTACCAAGCTCTTCATTTTCCTGATTCCCAAATCACACTCAGATTAAATATATACTTTTCATTGTTTTGTGTGTCTCTTATTATAATACAGAAGTGTTCTTGTGAACACTTTTCCCTAAAGACAAAAAAATAACCAGCCTATTCAATTATGAACAGTAACATGACTTGCTCTTGAGATAAAATACAGTAACAAATGTCTTGGCCTGGCTACTTTTTAATTATTTTTACACTTTTAACTAAGGATTGTTTGCAAACAAAGTAGAAACAACTCTGTGCTGGTTTTGAAAAGTATAGAGCAATGGTCTCATTACTAGTTCAGGAAGGTCATTCTGATCCAGTCTTCTGATTTTCCCTCACCCACGTTCTCAGTTCCATCGCTGGTCTGATTATTTAATTGGTCACCAAGTTATAATACTTCTAACCAGTCTCTGAGGCCATACAGTATATTGATACAGTAACTGTACCTTTAATGAAGTGAAAGTCTTGCACAATCAACTATAAAAGACCTTAAGAAAAATCCTATGCACATCTAATTTAGGTTGATTGTTAAATTGTTTAATTGACTACTCAGGTTGGAAAAACAACCTATAAGATACAAGCCTCCCTCCGCCAGGAACTGAGTTTGAGACCTCTGCTTGACAGAGACTCGATGTGCTGTTTTAAATTGGCAGATGCTGAGGCTTGATGGAAGATGCCCACTTCATTCTGAATTGCCTTAATTGGGAGGAAAAAAGTGCTGGCTCCTTGGGGATGTGCTGCCAAGGACTGACACCTGTCTGCCACATTAACAGGGGGAGAGTGACAGGAATTTCACAGGCACTCTGGCTTGCAGTGAGACCTCATCTATATGAAAACTGTCTACAACAGTGCTATTTCTGTGCATATTTGAAAGAGAGAAAAAACTTTTTTGACTTCATACTAATTATTTGAAGGCACTGTACACTACCCTGCAGCTTAGGTCCATTTGTAATTGCTTCAATGAAGGTACAAATGTTAGTCAACTCAATCCTCCACTGCAACTATTCTCTCCCAATCTGTTTTCAATACTGAAATGTCCAGTAGATGGTGCATTTGTTTGTGTGCATGGGACACACTGTTCACTGAATATGTAAGTATAAATTTATATGATTCTCTATAAAACATATGAATTCAACAAGCTGTAACAGTTTTTAAAGCAAAGTCTTTAAACAGGCTGGGATGTAGTATCAGAGAACTTTATCCTTTGCATGCATGAAGAGTGATAAGATAAAGCACTTGGGAATGAAGCTCTTTGTAATCAGTGTTAATTAAAGGAGACATTAGGTCAAACCTCCTGTCCCTCAGCAACTATTGTAAGATGAAGAAAAGAGACCAAATTGCGATCTGTGATTTCTCCTGAGGCCTGTGGTCTACACTAACATATTTAATAACTACACTGGGTGAGAAAAAAATACATTTTTATGTCTCTTAAAATAATTACCAATACATATAAACATTGTCATAGACACTTTAACTAACATGATTACACACTTTTTTTCCTAAATGCACTGTAGGAGCTGAAGTCTTTTATTTACAATAAAAAGACATTCACTATCCATGATCAGGTTCACTGCACTGTTTGCTTGTAAATGCATTTGTGATTAGTGTCTGAGTATTCTGTATACATTTTTGTATAATGAATGGGGTCAAAATGACAATTCTCTGGTGCCAGTCATGCTGTCAGGTACAAACCGTAATATAATCTAACAGCTTTAAAGAGATTAGAAGATATATAGTACAGAAACAAATATCTGTAAATCATTTAGGATACATTTAATTCACTGATATCTGTTCTAATATAATTTCAGACACTTCACTTAACTACTTTCAACTGTATCTTCCACACATCTGTTATTAGCATTAAGTAATCTGATTTAAAACCAGAACAAGCCAAATGAATGAAGTTTTGCAGTCCTTAAAGAAAAGAAATAATCTGAAAGCCAGAAAAAAGAAATAATAAAACATGAACAATTGCAAAAACAGGATAAAATGAGGTTGTAAACTTAAACTAAGATACAGTTTAATTCTTAGCATTATATATCATTTTAACATTTTTAAGCAAGAAAACTGTGATGTAAAATATTTAATTTAATCAGATAGAATATTTCCTAATTGGCAGAGAACAGCTGAAGGCACCATGTCTGGAATCCCCCTTTTTTGCTACACTAATATAGGCCAGGTCTTCTAGGTTGTAAGATATATCCAGTATACTACTGATACTGTTCAAAATCATATGCTGCTTTTTGGAAGCATCATATAACCCTTTAACCTCTGTTAAAGAAAATCTAAAAACGAAAAAAAAAGTACTTACCAGCATAGATAGTTCACATACTAAAACCCAGCTAGAGCGAGCATAATTTTTTTCTGCTCTCTCTGTTTTGCTTGTGTGGGAATCCCCTCTATCACATGCACAATTGTTATGCATTCAGGCTGCTGCTATTTTTTCTAAACTTTTTATTTAGTTCTACATGGTGATACAGTCTGTTGCATTCCTTTTTTTGCTATTAGCCAGAAAGGAGAAAGTGAATTGGTCATTGCTTAAAACATATTTTTTGAAAACACTATCAGACAGCAGAATCAAGCCATGCACAAAAAGACAATGTTTTTAATTCCTATTTCCAGCTTTGGGGCTATGATAACATATATGTATATATAGGAACTTCATTTCAAAAGACAAGAAAAGCAATCGAAAAGTCACCTGTAGGCATTGCTTTGGTGATGAGGATGTGAGGGAGGGGAAGGGAGCATCTTTTCCGAGGAGCCTGAGTGATGTTTGCCAGACAGAAACATCTACATGACTGTGATGGAATAACACAGGGTGTTCACAAAGCATGTCAGAATTGGCATTTTCTTCAGTATTAGTTTCACCTTGCTTCAATCCTTTAGTTACCCACCTGTTTAACTATTGTAACAACTCACCAGCAGATGGGATTTCCAGGCTGTCAGAGATAGAGGATTCTCACCCTGAGACAGTCGTTTCTGCTTGGATGGTCAACGCAATAAAAATACATTCAAGCCACCATTAAAAGCTGCCTTTTTTGTTTATGCCGTATTCTGCTGTATATTAAAAAAAAAAAACTCTCATGGTCTGTTTCCTGTGGCCTCTGTGGAGATTATCTGGTGTCGATTCTTCAGTTTGCTGCTCTGGCTCAGTGAAGTTTGTACTGTACATCTGCTCTTTCTCTTTATGCAGTGCAGTATATTGTTCACGGCATAAAGCTCTCTAAATTCATTTTTACATTTTGTTTTCTTTCACATGCATGTTATACTGGTTTGTCATACTGTGGTGTATTTAGTTGAATTGATTAAAACGGATATCCTGGATTTATGTACAGTAGCGCTATTCATCCTGAAAGATTCCTATGTACCATATACAGTAGATAGGAGTTAAAAGGTTATTTTGATTCAATGAAGTTTATCCGCAAGTAAGGAGCAGTGAGGAATTACAGTACTTACATGTAGCAAAACTTACAGAGAGTGCGACTGAGGCAGGACTAGGAAAGCATGAAACAAAACTAAGCTGGGGCACCAGGGTAAACACCTCTAAACCCTTTTCAAGAGTGGCAGAGTAGGATTACAACGTCGCATCTCATCCACAAGACAGTGCCCTTGCACCCAAGTAGCACCTACTGGTTCACACATACCTCTTATAGCAGCAATCTTTCTTAGATGCCTCAGATGAATTCACTGACTATGTCAAACATGGTAAGTGTCCAAGATCTGGTGGGACTGGGTTTCAAGATGGCATAGTAGCTGAATTTCCCCCTTATTGAGGTCAAGTTGATATTTCACTCTAATGTTCTTATTGAGGATAATGCTTATACCTCACCCTACAGATGTCTAATTTACTGTACACACTGGAATGTCTAATTATTTTTGTTTTCAATTATGCTTTTCTATATTGATTAATGAAGAGTTAATGTAAATATATATCAGGTCTGCTTAACTTGTATTGTTTCCTATCCACTCACTGGCGTTACATTAACATAACAAAGTTCCCTCATTTTTAAATTAATTCTGCTTTTATCAATTAAATATCTAAAGAGCTGGTTGTGCAAAAATTTTGCAACACATGAAGCGACATGCTTTTGATCTACGATTTGCTTTGTTGTCAACCCTTCATTACAGGAATTCTCTCCTTCGGTAAAACATGGATGATTTTGGCCTCTGTGTTTTCCCACCTGCTACAATCTTGTTTGAAGATTATTGTTATTTAGGCGGTTTGTCAAAGGGCCATAAACACACTTGCCACATAATTTTGGAATTCTACAAAAATCACACTTACAGTGAGCATGGCTCACACAATTTAATTTTGCTTAAGTAACACCAAAAAGGAACCAGATTTCAGTTGCAATAAAATTCCTTTCTCTTGCGCCTGTGGTTAAGACAAGCTAAAACATTCTCTGTCAATTTCCTTTGTGTTTTTCATTGCAAACTAGCCTTAGGTCACAATTTGAACATTTTCTGGAAGAGTGAAACAATTCTTCTCCCCGACGCAGAATGTATAAATTATTTCTAGGCAATAATTTTAAACACCTTTAATGAATTTAGAAGATAATTTATGCAGCAAAAATGAGATATTATGCCTGAAAAAAAATATTTTTTATACAAACCTATAAAGCGTAATTGCAGTAAGTTATCACAGTCAAGCACAGAAGAGAACTGAGAAGGAAGACGACAGCTCAAACTTCTTGTATTAATGAAAAAATAGTAAACTTGTTTACTTCTATTAAACAAAATGGTGTTCACTTGTATACAAAGACAAAAAAAAATCACCATAAGAAACTTTAAAATAAACCCTAGAAGGTATTGACAGTCATCCCAATAGACAATTTTTGTCTCCACATGAGACAGAAAAGGCCCACAACTGGAAACATCTGGAAATTCAGACCAGGTGTGTTTAGAAATGATGACATTGCTGTCCACAAAGAGAGGTGTGGAACGGAATTCTCCAGCCCTCTGCTGATTTCCTGCAGGTCTTGCAGAGATTCAAACCCGAAGTTCTTAATTATTACAAAATATGGACTTTTGTTTCAAAGAGAATACTAGATAGGGTGTAATACATGAGGGGGTAGAGATTAGTTTCTATGCTACTGACACATGAAGGTAAAGATGTGGCTATTTTATTCTGAGTTCACATACAAACAAAATCTTGCAGTGAGCATGGGTCTACTATTTAACAATAAATGCCACATACAGTTTAAAAATAGTAAAGTAGTGGTAGTAATAATAACAATAATAATAATAATAATAATAATAATAATAATAATAATAATAATAATAATATCAACCTCTTTTTTTTTTTACACTGTCCATTTATTTTGTGCTATACAGGTACATGATACATCACACTCTACAGTGAAAGAAAAGAGAGAAATTAAGAAACTGCATTAAAAAATTAAGGAGTTAAAACAAAGGATCTGTTGACTGGCATACAAGATCTGTTATATTACAGCTCACTGATGTGGTTTGGAACCGAAGCTTACAAGTCTTTAAAAGTGCACAGCAGCACTTTCAGTTTTATTCTGAATTCTAGACTGACTATTGCCTGTCCACCAGGCAGTTGGATTTTAGTCCAGGATATATAGTATGCACGCAGTTTTTACAGCAGCACTTACCACAAAAACTGGAAACAAATGTAATCATTTCATATATATTACACAGTTAGTTTATGATTAGAAGAGGTTTACTGTAAGTGTAGCCCTATCTGTAACTCAAGATAATGTATACTGCTAATGTGTTTTATGGTGGTACGTAAATATAGTATAGTACCTACATATAGTACGTTAATTACTGATTCAGTTGTATTTTTTCGTTGGACCAAAACACAAGCAATTAGCCAATATATCATAGCTTTTTATTACTGTAAGACAATACATTATTCATGAGAAAACTCAAGTTTAATTATTTTTTCCTTGTCTTCCATTCATTCCAAGGAGATAAAAGTATAATTTTTGCTCCTGGCTTTCTCAAGCATAAAGGTTTCTTTACACTAAATTCTAAATATGCGTAACAATGGTTTAGAAAAAACATTACACTGCGTTCTAGATGTGTTTTCAGCAGATAAAACACATTCCACAATGTAGCAATGGCTGGACTCCCTGTAGTTTATAGGAGATTGATCTGATAGCATTACAAACTGTTCGATTCATTCCCATTTTGTCTTTGCATTGTTCCTTGTTTGTTGTTGTCAGTTATAATAAGGGGGTTGCAGAATTCGTTTGGTGGATAATGCTGGCGGTAATAACACATATTTGTATGCATTAAAACACATATTGTTTATCAGAGTTAGTTGAATTACATTAGTGCCATACTCAATTAAACTCCTAATAAAACAAGACGCTAATTGCCACAGCTTTGGATGGTCTTGCTGATGCATGAAATTCCATCATGGTTGCCTTCTTATGAACTAATTTAATCAGACATCAAATGTAAACTACCAATACTAAGCTGGAATGTGTTCACAGGCCTATAAACTATAAAAGGCAACTAACATTACAGACCTCATCGCAGCAGCACAAGCTTTTAAGTACACCACTGCAGATAAGGAATGAATCAGAAATTAACCTGGTTTGTTAAAGAGCAGTAAATATCATAATGATGGGCTTAGTCAACAAGAAATAGTGACTTGAAATCTAATTACGGATAGACCCATAATGAGATGCAAGTTTACAAATCATTTCAAATAAGTGTAACCGTGTTTTCATCAGTACCTCCTATTTTTCAACTATTTTTCAAGACACTTTGTACTAAATTTGACCCAATTGTTTGGAATATTAAATTCTGGATGGGAAGGAGCTTAAATTTCAGGTTGGGATGCTGATGTTGTACCCCTGAGCAAGGTACTATATACAGATTGCTCTAACAAAACTCTGTTGTATAAATGGATGCCAAAGTCTGGATATAGAAAAAAATAATTAGCAGCTGCTACATTTGCAAGTACTTCCTAGGACACCACAATAATTTCAACATTCATACCTCCAAATACAACCAATTTGCATGGCTCCTTCCTCTTCGGCACTCTTTCAACCTCCTCCCTCAGTTCATCTAACCCACATACACAATTTTAAATAATCTGGATCTTCTTCAGAGGCTCCTCCTCTGCCCTCTCTGTCTTGCCCCTGGACCACTCCGATTACTATTTCATCTCCTCTGTCATTTCTGCTCCTCTCTCCTCCACCCACACCAATACCTTCCTTTTTCTCTCTTCTCTGCTCTTACCACATCCCTGGACTCTTGACTCACATCTCACCCTGTCAGATCCTCCTCTTCCCATCCCTGGCTTTGCTCTGTATTCCACCCTGCCAGACACCTGCTCTCAACTGAAAAAGGAGGGAAGAGATCTCATTCTATCTGAAGAAGTAGGGAGCTATGTCAGCATGCACAGGCTGCAAAGGAACCAGAGGCGAGAAGAAATAACTCTTTTCTTTTCCTTTCAGCATGGAATAAACCTCAACCTATTCTTGCAAGTCGATAGTGGACCTTTATCACTCTTTGTTCAGCCTTCTTTTAAGCACTTGATTCTAGCAAGAATATCTATTTTGAATTCTTACTTCTCTGATAATATATATCAGATCTCCTGGTAAGGCCTTTTCTCTGCTTCTTACTCGTTCTCTACTGGTGTACCCCACAGTGCTGTCCTGGGTCCCCTAGTGGCCTCTTTCTATTTCTGTGACTTCTAATATCACTCTTTTCCTGATAGGGTTCACATCATCTTCTCTTATCCTCCCTCTGATAATCAGGCCTCTTCCCATACTCCTGTCGTTCTCATAACCCCTCATCACTCTAATCTGAGCTCCTAGTCTTCTCTTCCTCAGGATCTGTGGAACTCTCAGTCTTGTTCTTTTCACTCCATAACATCCTAAACCTCCTATCCCGTGTTGTGTATACATTTTTCATGTGAATTTCTTGTATGTAAGTCACAGTGGGAAAGGGTATCTTGTAAACAAATAAAATAATACTAATGAATCGTGATACTTGTGATGTCTTTCATTTTGTGAGTTATTTTTAAATCTTTACATTCTTTTCTATATTTATTCTCCATAACATCTACTTTAAGTTACTTACAGTAGGCAGATACTCACCACTGTTGAGCTGTCGCAGAGGCTGTATGATAATAAGCACTTGTAACATGGGTAACTGGCGTGACTCAGCGCATGTGCTGCCAGATCGTTGTGTAAAAAGTTTTGGAATCACCAATTATTTTTTTTATGATATACTCACCATCATTTTTATGATGATTACCAACTACTGCAATCATCTACCCAGCTTTTTATACTTTGGTTCACAATGACAGCCCCTATGACTACACAAGGAGAATGTAAGTGAAAGTACAGTACAGACAAGTACCTCTGGCCCAATCACCCATTGACTCAATTTTGTTTTAAGGTGCAACAGTATGTAGGTTGGTTCCGTATATACTCACCTGGCAGTGTGTAATACTTGGGATGGGAACCACTCTATAAGCTCTGAAGTTACCTGCAGGAGGTTCAGTACAGACTGCAGGATAAATGCATCCCTTGCTGACATCAGACACATTGGGAAGTTCACTGCTTCTGTCCAACTAGTCCTCAGCCGTACAATACATCTGGCAGCTCTCACCCAGCTATACACATCTACTTTTAGATTTCCAGTCTCAGCTGGTCAGTGGTATGGCCCAGGGTTAACCTTGCACTATTTGAATCAAAGCTGCCAAATTTTATAACTGAAGCTGTCAAGTACAGAGTAGTTCTTCCATGACCATGAATCTTCCAATATTGTAGAAACACAAACTAAAATTACAAAGAAAACCCTAGGCTGTGTTGTTTAAAATTCTGTATGGGAATTAGATGTCAAATGTTGTCGACAAAAATCCAACAAGTGATCAAAGGTGAAGCACAAAAATGTAAATCTCCTTGGTCTCATGTTCGTTTAAAAATATTCCAGTGTTTACCTCTCACAATTAACAGGATCTACAATTTATGTTTGCCTGTAGTATATTTGCTACAGAGCAATGCTTACTAAAAAGCAGTTGTTAGGAATTACAGAGAAACTCCTCACCATTTAAACTTTAACTAAATGAAATATCAGTGACAAAAACAAGTTTTATGTAATTAGTGTAATAACTTTCAACTCCATTAAAAGCCATCTAATTTCTTGAACACATAAAAGATTATCTTTTGGAACTATACAAATACACAGAATGCAGTACATGTATATTAATACAGAAGAAAACTGAGATTCCAGTAAATGCAAGCAAGGTGTAGATCTGGGGAATGTAACTGCAAATTTCATGCTATATTCACAAGCATATTTTCTATTTCTTTGACACTCAAATAAGACATTTGTGTTTGCTTTATAACAGGATACTTATCACCTAAAAACCTCTGAGACTAGCTTTATAAAAGCACATCAAGTATTCCACTCCCATCTACTCAATTATTTTATAATGAGCCATCAGAGGCAGGCATCACATTCCTGGATTTACTAAAATAATTAGGATGAAATTAGAAGTGTACTTGCATTTGAGAAACACACTGCATATGTTCATGTCTCACAAATCACAGGGAGCTAATTTATAAAATGTGAATGTTTATTAAATGTTGACAGGAACATTAAAACACATTATCAAGTTTGAGCAAAAACAATCTCTAACACTAGGCCAGAAAAACATGTAAGAAGTCTGCTAGAGAAGTCTTTACCACTAAAACGCTACGATCTGAATTTCCTGTTCAAAATAATGAAAAGGTTTTAAATTATGTCAAATTCTTTTTTAATGCTGTTTTTGAATTGGGATTGAGTCCTACATCATAAAAAAAAGAAATTAATTCAATTCAAGGCCTAAACAACCTAAAAACAAAACAGTTCATAAAAATAAAATGAACTCTGATACTCTCAGTACTGGGAAATATTTTGCAGCATGTACATATATTAATGTTAGTTAGGGGTTTTACAGACAGGACACAGCCATGGGACTTCTCTCCATTTAAAGAGATTACCAGTAGGGGATGCTGAGTTCCTTAATATCCAAATCAACGTTTCAAAGTGTAACAAGTAAAAAGACGAAAGACAACCAGTAACATCAATCACTTAATTCTAAAGCGGAAAGAACATATTTGTGAGTTAAAGAAAATCATCAAGCCACACACACTTCCCTTCCCACTCACTCTCCCCTACAGTATTCGCAGACCTCTGAACTGCAATCCAATAACCCAACCCTACTTTTCTAAAATATTAACATTAGTTTAAAAGAAATCTGACAAATTAAAATATACAGTAGTTACTTTTACAAGCATCTACTGTAGGTTTGCATATGGAGATGAAACAGAAGGCTTTGTAATTTTTGTACATGACACTGGAATAAAGACCTACCATTATCTTGCATTAACTTGCAATGTCAAATGTATGGCAGTGGATTCTAGAATTGAAGAAAGCAGATGGATATTTATATATTTTGGATATTCAGGGCTGTGTTTTTGTGCTTAGACCCTGAAACAAACACAGCCATCGCATAAAAGTTAAAGTAGTTTTTTTCAAAGTATAATAAAATAATAACGCATGGGATGTTGAATTGGACATTCCAATTAAGGAACAAGAATGACGGGACTAAATAAAAAGGGCTTTCTTGCAAGCATAGCGTCTTGGTTATTGATATGCAAATGAGTTTAAGAATCCCATAAATTCATTTTTTTAATAGAACTGTCTTGTTGATGCATTGCAATTGTAAACAATATTCCTTCTCATTTTAATTTTTTATGGTTTTTGTTCCAAAGCGACAGGCAATTAGGATATTATTCTCAAACCAGAAGTCCTAAAACATTCATAACATGTCACAGAGGCTTTGTAAATACCAATGAATTTCCTCAGTTTTTCCTAAACTGAAAATCTTTGGATCCATTAGATGAATTCTTTTAAAATAATTCTGAAACATTTTTGGATTCATGTTTGGCTACTTTTAAGAAAAAATGGGACTCCTTGCCAGCTCAACCAGTAATGGCTGGTATTAGGAGTGCAGCAGTTCAGACCCCACCCATGCAAAATTGGGCCATTAATGATCTGGATCCGGACCTTATCCTCACTATTAGGCCAGACTGACCTTGAGCTGATCAACAAATCTCCGGCTTGCTTACACCACTAACACCTGGGACTTAAGCTTGTGTTATTAGGGAGAGCTATGACACTGCCCCCCGATCAATACTAACCATCCTGCTCAGGCACTGTGGGGCTGTGAAACAAGAGCACCCCAATGTGGGTACAAAGGTGACAGAGGTGAGTTTAATCGAATACCCATCAGTAAGTCCAAACAGGACCAGAAGAAAAAGAAAATCATTTCCAATTCCAGACTGCAGACCTATAAGAAGAACAATGAATCCTACTGTAGTTGAATTTCTGTTTTCTCTTTTTTTGTGTGGATATAAATATCTGTGCTTACACTTTAGTTTTCCCATTCCCCAAAGAAGCCAGATACTGGCTCAGCCTCCAGCATTCAACCAAGTACAAAAAAAATGAAACAGAAATAAGCAAAAAGATAATTAAACACTTCAGTAAACACTGTAATTGGAGTCTATAGGGACAATGTGTTTGATGTTTTGTTACTAAAATTAGAATTGTGTCTTCTTTTGGCATAGACTTAAAACACTTGTACTCTCTAAAAAGGTTCATACAACTCATCTACAGTTATTTTTAAAGCTTTCAACACATTAAAAAATTTGCACGAGTCCATCCCCACTTTATTTTATCAAAGGGCCTTTCTCATTTTATTTAAATACACTGCACAGATACACACTGAATTGTCTTTCAGCCCACCAAAGACACATGTTTTAGAGTTCCAGATGAAAAAGTAAGATTCCAATAGTTAGGTCTTAGCTGTCACTTTTACACAACTGATTATTCCGCACAAAAATAAACAGCAATAATATAAATAATTATAACAATATTAATAAGAGGAAGAAGATGAGGAAAATGAGGACAACAATACAAAATAATTAATTACATTAAGCAAGATGGGCTTTGGATATATGGAACTAGCTTGTGGTGCTTTGTCTCAGGGCAGATTTTGAGACAGAAGAGATGGACTGAGGTCAAATGGGAAGAGAAACAACCATCAATAGAAACCAAAAAACAACAACAATGAAATGTTGTGTAACAGCAGGATTCTTTCCTTCACATCATTGCTCTATTGCCAATTTGATTTTCTTTTTTTGGGTAGCAGGAAGTCTTAATAACCAAACAAAATCACAGAGTCGCTGGGACAGATCCACCACTGGTTGCAGCAGGAGACTGAGGTGCACAGAGGAAGAGACTCACACTAGTGTGCAATGGAACTGGGTTGCTATGACCTGGACCTCCCCTTTGTGCTTAGCCTGTAAGAAAACCTAGCAGCTAGAGTAAAAGCACAAAAGGATCATAACATGTTTAATACTAATAAGAGCACATTGTGTCCTCTTCACTCCAGCTTAATGATGTATAATTGTTCTACACTGAGGCTGTGAGATTGCCATTCTTCTTATTCAGGACAGCTTCTAAAAACCATCACCTATTACTGTGCTAGTGACAGACGGCCAGCCAAAAATAATGTTATTACCTGTCTGAAGCCCATCCTCCTGTTTATATGAGCTACCTTTGTAATCTGTTATACCTTGTCTGAATACATAATTTCTCTAATTAAACCAGGTGCTTGCAATCAGGCAAGCAATAAATTGCAGTATACTCAATTATGCAGCCAAATAAGAAATAGGTACGGAGACGCTCATGAGGTATGTCTAAAACTCAGAGTGGATTCTTTGAAAGCTTTGCAGATTTCATGTTCTGTATTATGAGCTGCATAGCTCAGCATTGCAATAAAGCACCCAATACTGTGTGATAATAAGAGGGTTTGCTCACGGGACATGCATTGCAATATGATTGTAAAATCCATCTACTGTTTAAAGCCTTTTTCTCTACCTGCTTTACCCTCTTTAGAACATGCATTTTAACACCTTGCTCTGCTTCAGCAAGGTGATACGTATCTTAATTTCCATTACATGGGAGTACTGTGAGCACATTTCTTTTCAGTGCATGATGGCTATCCCAGACAATCTTAACTGATTACTGGAATTTATCCCAAAAGCTTCTTTAAAGATGCTCTCTCACTCAGTATACAGTATATGTATGTTGTGGCTTAGTTTTGAGAAAGCACAAATTTCATTTGGAAGTGTAGATCACGTCTCTATCTCTCTCCATTTTTTATGATACACTCTGCTCAGAGTGTTTAAGGGATGAATAAATTGCAGTTCAGTCATCTGTAAATGTTGACATTTTTGGCTGCAGATCAACTAGATAAGACAGTTTTTTAAAAGTGCCCAATATGCTCATTAATGAAGGATGTCATATAAATATAATCTGACTAGTTTGATTTTTTTGGCATCTTGTTCAGTCTTCACGTTCGATCATCCCTTTCACCTCTCCAGGCACTCCCTGACCACCATGTGCAAGAGCTGCTCACTTCTTCTTACTGCATGTTGTTTACACAGTTATGAGATTAATGACAGAAAGGGCAATTTCCTTCAGGGAAGAGAGCTCCAAATTAATAAGGCTTTAGTTCAAATTTGAGAGCACTAAACTGCATGAAAGATATCACTGCAGCAGTTTCAAAATGCACCCTGCATTAGAAATTTCACCCTGGTGAGTTTACTACAGTATTTGTTATTCTTTTATAACAATTTTCCTATTCCTCTGCTACTGTATATTGTCTGACTCTTTCTTTCACATCATTTCTGTCCTTGCCAATTTGATTTTTTTTCTTTTTTGGGTAGCAGGAAGTCTTAATAACCAAACAAAATCACAGAGTCGCTGGGACAGATCCACCACTGGTTGCAGCAGGAGACTGAGGTGCACAGCGGAAGAGACTCACACTAGTGTGCAATGGAAATGGGTTACCATGACCTGGACCTCCCCTTTGTGCTTAGCTTGTAAGCAAACTTCTGAAGTGCTGTGACACAGAAGAATCTTATGATATTTTCAATGTTCAGGTCCAGAACTACATGAGCTGGAAGGAGCTTGCATGTATCTGGGAGACGCCGGCCTGTCTGGGGTCTCAACTGCTCAAGAGGATGAGCTCCGAGGGAACAAACGGATGTAATATCCTCTTCACCCCAGCTCAAAACTGTATGATTGGTCTACACTGAGACAGGGACATTGCCATTCTTCTTATATTTAATACAGCAGCACTATGTTTTACTACAATGGACCTCATGTAAACCACGGTGAACTGTTGTTGAATAAAGTTCTTTCCATTTCTATATAAAATTCCTTGGAAACATCTGTGGTGCAGTACTGTACATCACCGAATTGCCAGTGTCCAGTGTTATAAAACACAGTGAAGGCATGTGAAAATCACTCAGCAAATGTTAACGCACAGCTAGAGTAAGAGCGCAAAAGGATCAGAACACGTTTAATCCTAATAACCACTTTCTGTCAGTTTTCTACCACAGTTTATTAATGCAAACAAGGGACAATGGCTTAACTATTAAAAATCTCTTGTTTTTGAAGATGCCTCTGATTGCTCTGTCTATGTGTTGTATAAGTCAACTCAGGGGTGCTACAGCCCATTCAATTTTTCAAAGGACACCGATTTCCAACTTGCCTAATGGTATTACAAATTGTCTGGCGACACTGACTCCTTTGAACGAGTTCCTGTGGCGAGTTTTGTTGCAGTCTGAGGTAGCACGAATCAAGCATGACTCCCAGTTACTGAAAAAGATTGAGCACAGCAGAAATTCCCCTACATGGGATCTGAGTTTTTTCAGTAAGCCGGTTCACTTTGTGTTAGGATTTACAAAGCCATGGCCATCCTATTTCCCAGTCACTTCCTTGCTAAGTTCTAGGTAGGAACCATTAAATAATAACAACGGCAATCATTTTAACATTAATAAACATATTTAGAATCTGAGTGATAATGATAAGGATAAAAAAGACTCATATACTGTACAGCAGGTAAGACTTTGAAAGAACACTACCATACAATCCTGCATTTTCCTCTAGCTTTGGGGGCTTCCACAGGAACAAAAAGAAGAAAAGGAGAAAAACTGCTGAAAGTCCTTCTCATTCTGACAGACAGTACCTGTAAACAACGTGAGAAAAGTTGTTGCTGTTTTAATTTTTCATTTTCCTTTCCTCCTCTCACTTGCTGTCATCCCGGGTAGGACGGATCTTCATTTCGGAAAGTTTGAGGGAATACTGCCACCCTGTCCAGGAGGACCACTCGATCCCATCTGCGTAGGACGTGTGGTGGCCCTTCAGGTACTGTCCGTTCAGGTTGGAGGTGTGGCAGTTGCGATACCACCAGGCTCCATGGTAGAAGGAGGCGCAGTTGTTCTCCGAGTGGTCATTGTCGCGGTCCTTCGTGGTGAACTTCATCCCATTGTGTTTCAGCAGGGAGTCCCCTACAGAGCACACAGTTGCAAAAAGAACAAACAAAACGATGACAGAGCTTCCTGATGCAATGGGGATCGCGGCACAAGATCATGGGCAGGAAACGCAAAAGGAAGCCTTCAATACTGCAATGCAAGAAAACGACAGCTTGGTAGAAAGATAAATAAATTTGCTCTGCATAATTTCCTACTCTGTAAATTCTCGAGATGCCTTTTTTTCATTTGAAAAGAGCGACTACGCTCTTTAACAGAAAGGATTAGAAAGAAAACCTTGGTCTCTACGCTAGGTTAGTGTGAGACGTACTGTATGCAGTCATTTGATGTGTGACACAGGTCAATTGCAGCTGAAAAGCATCTGCAAAAAATATGATTACTGCATTACATTTCATTTTTAAATTAGATCACTTTCACAAAGGGAGTCTAACTCAGCTGTCATTTTAAAGAACCCCTGTCCTGCTTCTTGTAAGAGACAATAATGGTTAAGCGAATGGGTTATTCCTCTAATGTGAGCCTTATTAAGCAGCGTGATATATGTCTTTGGAAGGTAATTTTGCAGCAAGAAGCCAAACTAATTTAATTTTTTCATGGTACATGAGTTTCGACTCAAGGCCCCTGTTTGCGGAGGCCAGTGCTGAAGAAAATTCACTTTTATTGCCAACATCACATTTCAGGTTGTTCCTGTTCTTTACACTCAGTAATTCTATTTTCATCAAAGTCAGCCAACAACAACAAAAAACTTCATGGGATTGAAGCAAATGGGATTTAAAGCTCAAAATGGGTTAGGTATAAAAAGACTCATGGTGTAATTCTCATATTTTCTGCTAGGTTAATTTGTATAAACAATTTCACTCAAGGGTAAGAACACAAACCCATATAAACAATGGGCACACCCATCTCCCCCAGTTTAAGAGTAGCTAAAGCAAATTTTCACTCAAACTTTTTTCACTCCTTGCTCAGTTACGGCATGTTCTAATTTTGTCACGGCGTGCTACCTTTTCCTTTTCATCTGTGGAATATAATTGTTTTGTTTCACTTACCATACTAAGTACTGTAGCTGTCTGCCGCTGACAGTTAAAAAGGTTGATTTTATAGTTCACATTGTACTGTATATTTAAAATTGTATTTCTTGCACAATTGTATTTCTGCGTTTTAATTTTTATATTAATCTTTCACTAATGGCATATCACACTAATTTGTACTGCGTAAGGTTCATTAAGTGAGTAAGTTACACTGAGTAGCTGTCACTTTCTGATAAGTGGCAGGAATAATGAAAAATAGTCCTTCAGCACAATCTCATTAGATTGGAAGACTAAGTGCAAACTAATGATAATATAACACAAATTAGCAGACCAGGAGAGTTCATTTTAAAATATAACCCATTGCAAAGTAACCATAATATGTTAATTAATGACAAAACATTCATGATAAATGTAAAATACTGGAGGTTTTTGGAAAAGCAGAAATTAAGCAAATGCTGAATCCTCAATTTATCATTAATTTCTTTCATTTTATGAGTAACTCTGGAGTTCTGTCCTTTCCCAGAGTATTGCGGGTAATAAATAACCAGTTGGCAGTCTTAAAAATGATAACTTTTTAACCTCTTTGAAAACATTTAACCAAGGCAACAATAAATCTGAACATACTGCAGCTGCTTATTAAAATGAACATAAGCAGAGATCATAGAGAAATGGTCTGGCCCCCCACACTGATTAAAACTCTTTTTATTAATGCACAGCATGGAGTGCAAAGCCTTGATGCAAATTTAACAAAGGCTCAAGTGTGGGTCTGTTCTTTATTCATAATAACAAAATAAAAACATTTCTGTTAGTTAACAAACTGTCATCTAAGAGGTCCTTTCAACTTTCAAGTTCCAAGAATAGCCGAGGTGTTTGGAAGAGGTTTAAATGAACAAGGAACACAGGGGGTGGGGGTGGAAGTACAATAACTGTTATCATCCTAACATGGTGCCTGTAACACATCCAAATATTAACAATTAGAGACCTAACCCTGTAGAAAACAATACAAAATATTAACATTAATGTAATATACAATTTACATGCAATTGGCATGTGAGTTTTCATGTCATTTGTCATATGGTAGGTCATACAATCTAACGGATTCTCATAGATGTAACTGGACCCTGAGGCCAGCAATAAACCTCAGAAGGTAAGAGGCTTCTGCCATTGTAGAACTGAGTCTCTACTTGTCCTCTGAACAGTTCCTCTACCTGTGGCCCCCTGTGCCATAGTGACACTCTATAGCTGCAAGGTCTCCATCTCTTCTTTTTTAGAGCTTTTTTAGACCAGTTCTATGAAATATTGTTATATAATTTTTTGGGGGCTAGTCTGTATCATCACAGTACATGCTCAGCTTTTATTGCCCCTGTTGGCAGAAAACAAAGCTTTAACTTATGAGAGTTGTTACAAGTGATGTTACAAAGTAAACCTCCATAGACTTCCATGCAAATCAAAATCTTCAGAAAGCATGACTTGCTCATTAGTTTTGTAAGGGAACTTGAATACTGATGTTTTATACTTGGCTTTATATAATAAGAGTGTTTGTTTATTCCAATTAGCTACTTTGAACATGACCTAATTGTCTCCTTTATTGTTATGCCATAAACGCAGGATACAGCTTCATTAAATGTGACCTTTACAGCAGTTTCAGGAGAAGGTCAGCGACAGAACTGCTCCATCACAACACATAGTTGAAGGCTAAAACAATGTTATAACTACGGGTTATGGGACTCAATTACATTAAGCTGAAGTTAATAATGACAGAGGAGGTAAAACAAGTAAAATTAAGTTTGCAGGTAACATTAATATAAGGTACTTACAGCAACTAAGACTTATGTTTATAAAACCTGGGTAATATTATTGCTTCAGTTCCAGATTCTGGGCTAACAGGCAATGAGACTGTTTGGAATTAACACTGACAGTTTATTCTGTATGACTCAGGGCACAAAGTCTTCAGAAGGCAGTCAAATTGGTATTTTAAATACATAATATTATAATATGGTAGTTAAATTTGGGATTTAGACTTCTGTGCTGTTCCTGGGAAATTTATCTGATAATGGAAGAGGCTAGAATACCTCGGAAAAACTACTTTAAAAACAGTTATTTAAGCATCTCAAAAGAAGCTGCCATTTACGAGGGCAGGAACTGTGGTCATCTGAAGCCATGACGCCCACAACATGGAGACCAACAGAAAATTAAACAAAAATGAATGTATGAATTGAGTGATAAGCTATTGCTTAAATGAAATTTTGTATTTAATATTTCAGCATTAAAATGCTTCTAGATGTTAATTTTATGAACTAAATAAATAATTTGATTAGTTTTTATTTTCATTCCATATTATATTTCCACTGTAGTTTCTTGTATTTTAAAATGTACCTTTCCTCTTCTGTTAATTAATAGATGGCCCCAATTATCACAAACCACAATAATATAATAAGTACTATAATTAGCTCTTTACCTAGTGTGACTGGTGGAAGGAATTGTAATGGGATGTTTTCAGCTGTGAGCATATAAACCAAGCTACTTTGTTGCGCTGTGTTTTACAGATTTTATTATTCTCAGCAATGATATACAGTACCTACTGTCAGATGCAGGATTAAAAAAAACAACAGCATCAACAACAACAAAAAAACTATTTCAGACTTTCTGGAATTGTAGAGGAAGTTAGAACACTTGATTATACTCAGTTGTTATACTGTACTTCCTTGTGGTAATTAATCCTGCATATCAGTTTAGGAGTTTTAATGCTTAATTTAAGCATCAATTCCTCCACTTTCTGGGGAGCTATAGAAATGTGTCTTATCTAAGAAGGCAATACGGTACATAGGGGTGATCCAGGGTTGAGAGTATGATTTGCTGATAGAAAAGTTAAGGATTATTATCCTTCCCTTCAAACTCTGATGCAGCCATGGAAGATGAATTGCTATAGCTAAGGAAAAACAGGACTGGCTTGTTTGACGACACAGCTGTAATTGTCATTCTGCAGTTTCCATGGTTACTTTCAAAATCACAATTTCAGGTTGGATGCTTCAGATGTTGGAAAATAAAACAAAGAGTCTGATTGCAGTGATACCGTCACATCATTTAGCCCTCATTTAAATCACTTTGCGCTATCCCGTCTGTGAGCAATGCTGAGGCAATGCTCATTCAACACTAGTTCTCCTGGCCATTAAACACCTTTGACTATAAATCGTAGTCTTGACTAAAAAAAGTGGGCTTAACTGTGAGAACTTCTGATATGAAATTAAAGTACTTACACTCAGGAAACACATCAATTTACATGCAAGTACAAGGTTAGTAAATCTTCACGTGTTGTTACTTTCTTGCTCTTTACAATTACTGGCATTAATGCTTTAAAAATCCTGAACAATGAAAGTTAAAACGTGGTATTTTTTTCTTTACTTATTCATAGGTTTTGTAATATCACAGTTTACTTGAACAGAGATTTTATAATCTAGGCAATTATACAATTACTGTATAATAATGTAGCCACTGAGACTTAAAAACTGCTACACAGTCTTAACAATATACAATAATGGATTGTGTGTTCCATTTCTGGTAGCTTATCATCATCATAGTTCCTAGGAAAAATTACCATTTTAAAGCTTTTGAATAAATGTACTCATTTAAAACAAGGACGTTATACTCTGGTCATGAACACCTTGCTCAAACTCATTTAGAACAAAATAATTTAAAAAATAATCAACACAGATATGCAAATTTAAACACAAAACTTTGGATAATTTAAGATATTCCACAGCACAACCAAATTTAAACTTGTGTTCCCAAATTAAATTGAAATGGTATCCGAGTTCCCAAAAGGAAATTTCAGACTTAAGAATCATCTTCGTTGATGCCATCTTTCTTTTTATTAGAGATGTTTTGCAACCATTTAATGGAAAGCTATCATCAAATTGCATCAGATTTGCAACTGGCAATTGAGTCTTTCCAATCCCAATTCCAGCTTGCATGGGAGGATATTTACCTGCAGTACCAGAGTAGTCAGCAATCGTCAGAGGATAGCCATCTTCATCTGGATCCACAGAGAACAGCCCCACACCGAATGTGCTGTACTGTGCGTAAGCCGTGCTGTTCTCGAAGTCCTCCAGATCAATTCTCAGCTCGTAATTAGCTTGGATGGTCAAAGCATGGATTCGCTTCAGACCTGCAGAGGGGAAAAGGAAGTTGTCTGGTTCATAATATCAAGAAAGTGAAACACTTACTGTAGACACCACGGGCTGGATGACTTTAGTGAGCCGCCAACTTTGCACCTTTTGTGTACTCAACTAGGTGTAATTATGTAAAATCTTAACTCCTTACACTCCCAACTCTGGAACAGTCAGCTGAAGAGAGCAGTGGTTCCCTGACTAAAGTTTACACCCACGTGTGGCATTCAATTTCCAGTTAAAGAACTAAAGCAAGAATGAGATGCTGAATTTTTGGACTGGAAAAAGCAAGTATGAAAGAACTGCCTGTTCAAACCCCCAATGCTTTTTTTTTAAACTCTCTGGTAGAAACAACACAGTTCTTTTACCAAACAAAACATCTGAAACTAATGCAGTGCTAAATGTTTAATGCGTCCAGCTACAAGTTATACTAAAAATACAATCTGATAGAAATCTATCAATAAAATCTTAATCCTAAAATGAAAAAGGTACAAAACTTAAAAGTACAGAAAGTACAGTACAATATCATGCCTCTACTAGGTGACAAAAAGAAGTGAGAAGTTCTCATGTGATATAAAAAGGTGCACTAGTCTTGATTACAAAATAAACCCCTGAATAAAGCATCCCATAGGTCAAGTATTCTGACAGGCTGAACACTCTATTATTTAAGAATATTGACAACCAGAAGACAATTTTGACAAACATACAGTAGAAAAAGCACTGCACAGGTGCAGTGATGGAAAGTCTAACAGAGAGGTAATTAGTTTCAGTGAGGACCCATGAATTTATAGGTTAAAAATACTTTTTGGGCACAGTATATGTCACTGTGGTTTATAAGGGGCTTATTCCACTCCAGAAGGATTCAATGACGTGATATTTGGAACAAAGAGGAATGAAGTTCCCATAAAGATAAAACACTCTTTATTTAGAATTCATACAGCAAGGGGCATATTCCTTTAGAAACTAACTTGTTTTCCTTGTTATGAATTCCCTGTAGACACCTTAGTAAACCTTACTCTGTTGTCTGTATTTCACCATCAGGACAGGAAATCAATTTTAAAAAGGTTTACCTCTCTTAATCTAACTATATTGCTATTTTGCCCACTGTTTGACAGTTGTGGATTTTGGAGCTTGCTGGCAAGGAGACTTTGTCTTTGTACACTTTTGTTTTATTGAACGTGTTTTGCTCAGCAATGTCCTGCCGTGTTCAACTACCGTTTAAAGTACAGAATGATTAGAAAACACATTAAAAGAAGAAGAAATAGAAAAGAAAAGTCATAAATCACATCAATCACAACTGTTCTTTTTTTAATCATCCAGGAGAGTTAATGCTTTCATTGAGTTTCAAATACATTACCCCTTAGTGGTGTAATGATTACATTCAGAACTAGAAGATTTTCTAAATCGATTTCAGATTAAGCTAAGCTCTGAAGGGCCAGCTTTGGAAAATGACCTTAATATCAGATTCCGGCTAGGGTTCAGACCAAAACAGCAAGTAATCTCTCTTTTTTCATTTTTTTTCACTCCTACTAAAGAGAAACATTTGTTCCAAAGCAATTCTGGTAATGAGAAGAACATTTATGATAACACTTATCAAACAGGATCAGCGTGATGTGGTCTATGAACTGACAAGAGTAAGTCGGTGGTGTCTGCCAAGCATAAAAACAGCTTTAATGGGGTCATCTTGAAGCAGAGACATACTGTAGGGCTGTTTAGAGGTCATTTTGCCTTTGGGGCCCAGCATTTCAGAAATATCTCTCACCCACCAAACTATACTCATAAAACAGAACAGGATACAGGGATATTTGTATCCCTGGAATACTTTAGAAAAGACTCCATCAACACCACACACCTTAAAGCAATATCTGTACTTATGAGACAATTGTACCTTTTCTTTATTCAGTATAGCTGTGTCCAAGTTTGGGTGTACCTTTGATTTTGTTTTCAAACACCCACATGATGGATCACATCAATTTGGGAATTATGAAGTACTAAATTCTTCCAGTTGCACAGAGGTTAAAATCACTTTACGGGTGAGTTTCCAATTCAATACAAAAGAGTCCAAAACAGAAACTACAGCAATTATTCCAGTGAGTTAAAATGTGCCAGAGTTTCAGGAAATAACTTCAGCATCATTCCCCAGTAAACAATAAATAGGAAAATAACTAAAACAATAATAGAGTATATATGCGAACTATATAATGAATATTAATGCAAATATAAAAAAGGTACAACAGCAAAATATACAGTAATCCCAACTTCATATACCATAATCCATATCAGGATGACAGAGTTTATACTGTACATGTAGATTCAGTTCATGTACTGTACGTTTTAGAGCTTTGCTTTGATACCGTCGTCGCCTCTCTTTTTATTAGTCACTCAATCAGACTGATCTTCATTCAAACCCTGCTCCCTGCTGGGCTGCGACGTTGTTTGTTCTGTGACTTGTTTTCACATTTCCCACCCGTGACTTCTGCCCCATGCACTTCAGTTCATTCCCTATCCAAACTAGCTCACTCTTCAGAGTGGGGGCACTTCCTTCTTTTCTATCTGTTGTACCGAACCTGAAAATGATCTGTTAAGGTGGCTGGAATTCTGTGACATAACATGTGACATTTCATTAGCATTGGATAATGAATGATACATCAGGACAGTGGTTCTCAAACTGTGTTCCGCGGAGCACCTGGGGTTCTGTGAGCTGAAACGTTAGGCTACAAGAACAATAGAAATCAAATAAAAAAAGTGAGCTTCGATGTCTTTGCATGACTCCAAGAAGTCAGAATAATTAGGCATATGTTCAGAAACGTCATCTTCAAATTCACTCTCTGAATAAATGTCTGTACTTGTGCCTCTAGAACCAGAAGGTACCTCAAAGGTGTCGGATGAAATTTCCTCTTCCATCTGCTCTTCTATCTTGTATGGAGATAAAAATGTTTGCCATTTCGACATCCGGCAAATCTCAAAAACTCGCAATGAGAGAAAATAACGTGTTACGATGTAGAATGATCGCTTAGAAATGACTGCTACCACGAGAGAAAAAAATGTGAAAAACAATTTAAAAAACGTAGAGACTTCACGTCACAAGAATGTGAGAAGTTAATTGACCTAATTTCAGACTCTTCCTTACAAACAGCTTTTAATGAAGTGCAGCTGGCAGAGTTTCGGTGCTGCACCAAATACGAATATCCAGCATTATCAGAGAAAGCACTTTCTGCTCTTCTCCCATTTGTGACCACCTATCTATGTGAAGCCGAATTTTCGTCGTACGTGTCCCCAAAAACATAGTATCGTAATAGATTGGATGCAGAGTCGAAGACTGTAACCCACATCCAAATATAAAAACAAATATTGTAACCATAAGCGCTACAATATATAAGAGGTAAACGCACTCCTCACACTGAGATTGTTCTGTTTCTGCTGGTTTGAAGTAAATGTTGATTAAAAAAAACAGTACTCTTTTAAAAATGTATTGTTGTCGCACCATGCTTTACTTAGTCAAGTCAGTGCTACCACCTTTTCCTGTTTGCGCCCGGTTTAGACCACAAAAAGTGTCGTCTGATTCTATAAATCTATTCTTTTTTCCCCCCTTTGTTAACAATGTTTTCATCAAAATTAAAACATCATGTCACAAGAATATGAGAAGTTTTCTTCTAACTTGGTCGAACCGGCGGTTCTCTTATTCTCAACAAGTATGTCAGTGATTAAGCTTTATTGAACGGTACGGGTACTAATCGCAGACACGTTATCGTGTGATTAGTCCATCCATTTTCACTTCCGCTTTTCCTGGTGAGGGTCGAGCGCAAGGCAGGGTACACCCTGGACAGGGCGGCAGTCCTTCGTACGGCAGTTGCAAAGTTATTCATACATGGGGACAATTTGGAGGCCATAGTAAGGGTTGAGGGTATACATTTGGACCGGACACTGGGATAACTCCCTAGTCTTCCGAGAAATGCCTGGGGATCTTTAATGACCTCTGAGAATCAGGAACTTGGTTTAACGTCTCATCCGAAAAACAGCGCCCACTACATTATAGTGTCCCCGCCGTTATACTGGGGCATTAGGACCCACACAGACCGCAGGGTGGGCACCCCCTGCTGGTCCCACTAGCACTACTTCCAGCAGCAACCACAGGTTTTCCCAGGTGGTCTCTCAACCAGGAACAGACCAGGCTCAGCCCTGCTTAGCTTCAGTGGGTTGCCAGTTGTGAGTTGCAGGGTGATATGGCTGCTAGCCTCATGTTATTAATAAATGACTAAAATAAATTAAGTGAGCTCATACAATGCTTACAATTAAAAGAAAAGCAATCGATAGTTTCTTCCTTAATAATTGGCTAAATTGCCTCTGAATAGCAGTCCTAGAATGCTTTTTGCAGACCACCACCATAGCTAATCCTGAAAAGTAAGAAAAAGGTTGCTGGGGATCGACAGAAAAGGGTACCGTCAACGAAAAAGTTTGAGAACCACTGCGTTAGGAACATGCATTGTGAACTATTGTGTGTCCGTGCTTTTTTAGTGCTTGTTTGCTGGTTTGTCTCTAAGCAGCTCTGGCTACTTCAGTATTATGCGTCTTAGTGAAGAACACAAATCATATGATTTAGATGGAATACTTACACAGAATCAATAATGGGCCAAATTAAAGTATGACGTAGCTATCCTGTAATTCTTAAAATTATTTAAAAAGGTGAGCTTGACAAATTACTTCAAAAACGAAAGTGTTAAACTTTTGGGGGATTTTTGCTGTCAATTATTTCATGTCTCAGTTCACAGCCCTGACTCCTGTAACTGCAGGTGGAGAATGGTGATGGGCAGACAACCTCCTCTGTCCCAGCTACCCACTGAGACCTCAGCCTTTGACAGGTTGCAAGCTCCACAGTGCCTCCAGGAGGGTGAGTGTCGATGGAAGATAGAGTCATAGGTTTCCTACAGACATCAGTGCAAGACTGCTGGCACATGAAAAAACAACCAGAGTCCCTGTTCTGGTGAAAGCCCTGACTCTA